AGATCAGACCAAATCGGAGACAAGCGAGAGATTCGGGCAAGAAACACACAAATAACACAAGCAAGCGGCACGTGGAAACTCAGCTGCAACAATTACCTTTTTCATTTTCGCAAAGCTGAGGTATGGCCGTGGACTGTCACGCTCGTCATGGCTTCTTTTCCCGAAACTGTTGCGATGTGGCAGCAAGCAAGGCTGCGACTTTGGTCGCCTTGTTGTTACTTCACTGTCTGAGAACGGTAAGCCATAGCTTGTATCTGCAGACAAACTCTTTGGCTTGGTAGACTTAAACTTGCAAACAGGCTTCCAGCATATGCTGTCAGCAGACCAGGCATCTTTCACATCAACAGGATCGAGAGTCGAGGCTACCTTGCGCCTATACTTAACCATCCAAACGCGCGAGCTGCCAGGTGGATGCCAGAGAACGTGGCTGCGTGCGCGCGGCGCAGTTGGTGGGGCTGACTGACGACGGGTATGCGCTAGTCCCGGTGCACTGGGGTATGATGAACTGGACCTGAACTGATATCTTGGTGCTGCTGGTGATGTTGCCAGTGGTGGTGATGCCGCTGCCACTGCCACTGCCGCTGCCATACCACCATTACCGATAGGTCGGCCGCCAACTTCTGAATACTCCGTGGTGGACGCCAGCGTACCAAACGGACCACCATCTACACAAGAGAAAAGTGAACAAGAAGACAATCAGCTCCGAACAGCGCTTATACCCTGCTACGCCAACAGCCCGCGATATGACAAGAAATTCTGAGGCCGCACTCATGCGAAATGGAGTCTTACCTGAACGAGTGATGGGTGAGCATGACAAGTTTGAAGGCTGCACAGAGCACACAAACACACACACACACACACACACACACACACACACACACACGTCCCGGATGGAGAATGAGGGCAATGAAGGGCAATGACCTGAATTACTTCTTGTTTTAGATTGGATGAATGAGAGCTGAAGTACCCTGCTCAGAGTTGCAGCTATATTTGACAACACACTGACGATCTCGATACGTCCCCCAGAGCACTGGCAACTACTACAACGCACATATGGAGGATATACAAAAAGACAAATGGAGATCCTACAACACTGTTTCGTTCACATCCACAGCATCTTCTTTGCAGCACTTCCTGTGCGAGCAATTCTGCATAGCAGCTAATGCAGCAGCTCAGATTGACTCGCGCATCTCTGCTCACTGACGCGAAAACACTCACGCATCAAACTTGCATACAGCAGCAGTCGCAACAACAACAAAGAAAAGCCAACCTGCTTGACGGAACTAGCAACGACCATCAATTCCATCTGCTTGAGCTGCTCAGTGATGACGGCAACCATGCTGAAACAAAGGACACCTACAGTCACACGCACCGCGCGCCAGTCGGGAAAAGAAGAATGAACACTGCAAGACGGCACACGATCGTGACCTATTTGCACGAACATTTACATAGAGTCAGTAACAGGGAAAATGAGTAAATAATAGCAGCTAGACAACCTTATGATGAGAAAGAATCGTCCTATGGAGTACATGTTATACAGCCGCCGTATTTTCTCTCACAACCCGAACACCGCCACCCCATATCCATGTCTAGTCCATGATCAGGGACAAGATTTGTAAAGCCCTTCAAAAGGAAAGGATCACTCTTGATGCGCACTCAGCCACTGGCTACGCGCTCAGGTACAAAGGCTAGCCAAGGTCACGGACTGATCTCCAGGCATTTTTTTAGCGTCCACCGAATGAACACCGTGCATGCACAGCAGAAATGCACGCAGAAAATTTCCCAATGTGCTCCAGCTAGCTGGCTGGCACGACAAACATCTTATGCACTCCGCAGCACAAAGTCAAGAAAGAGGAACACGATCCCTGCATACCACGTCAGAAGCGTGTGACTGCACAGGAGCATGGTAACAACCAACACTTACATGGGAGAGGTAAAGGAAGAGCTTTCCGCCGATAATGAGCACTCTAGCCAAACGCGTCCCCTTCAAAGAATGCACAGGAACGTTCCTTAGACCGATGTGAGGACAGCTCACTCCGCAGCGCAGTCGATGATGGAGAGGCCACAAGGGTCGAGTCAACCACGAGTCTCGAGACGGCTAGCACTAGCAGGAGATCACGCGCATTGACATTGCAAAGACTGGAGTGCTGCCACGAATTATGTTGCTGTGTGACTGCGAAGTTTGAGTGAGTTGTAAAAAAGGCTACCGGCATGGAGTGCCACTCTACTCATGCTGCAGCGCCAGTCTGCATACAATGCTTCACTGCACACCCCCAAGTGCCGAAGTGGTGAGCCCGTGCACCGCCGCACGGGAATGTTTTGTGACTTCTCGGAGACGTTGGACCATGGGGATTGCGCTCGGAAAGATGAAATCGGTTTTATGCGCGGGCGCAAAGCCTGCACAGAACGTCGACTCGAGCTGGAAATGAACTCGAGACAGCATACATCCGCCCGAGGGGAGTGATGCTCGTCAGCAAGCCATCACTGGCATCAGTCGGCATCGTCGCAGCACGCGATCTGCCATAGACTGCTAGGCAGAGTACATGAACATTAGACTAGTTAGTACTAGTGACATTATGCAAGGACAAGACCAGAATGGCATGTTTCAATGGATGGAAGCTGCTGCATGCTAGCCATTGGACGAGGAATCAAGGAGTGACTGACGCACGAAAGTGGATAGCAACCATGCGACAATGCAGTTGACGGCCCGGGTGTTCGCATACACACAGCGCTCCGAGATACAGTAGAAAAAATATGTGGCGCAGCTATCGCGGAACTGGTCGCGGATCACTACTGTTATGACTTATGACGTTATGTGTAGGACATGAACATAATCATGATCACACCTATTACATGTAGTATTAGTACCTAGTATTGAACAACTTGCGACTTGTGTTTACATGTGGCGTAATTCCGCGTAAATCATGGTCGAGGTCTCGAGGATCGTTCAAACATAACAGTAGAATACATACAACCACGATCACCGTGCGGCAGTGAATAACAGCAACAGTTTCTATCAAAATCCACACCACAATCATGAACGAAGTATAGTATCAGTATTCTGTAAGTCGTTTTCATGTCACGCGTGAACATGGTGAAAGCAACGAAGTATTAATAGTGTTAGTTCGAATCTGATACAGTGTTCCAGGGCAACTCAATCACTCAGTAATACCAAGTAAAGTGATTAGTGGTTCAGGATGTTCCTCTCCCCAGTCAGTCCACCATACCACCCGAACAGCCAGGATATGATGCAGTAGTATCAGATCACTGATCACTACACCAGTCTACTCGGAGTACTCCGGTGTCAAATGCGACGTGGATACAATCATGTGTATGAACAATCGCTCAGTCGCTCTAGTCTAGACAGAGCTAGAGGCCCTTCACTGTACTGACATACATGTACTGGTGCATGTGGATATGGTATGCAGAACGCGTCATTACTGTCATGATAAATGTAGACTTTTACAGTCATGTTGTATTGCTATCGTACATGTATTACTAGTATTAGTATTGCTCTACCATACACATGATAGATGTCTACCCATCACCGACACGGCGACAGAGTAGATCTGTAGCTGTAGTACTAGCACTGACCATGCTGACTGTGTGTGTGAATCCGGCAGTGTCCTCGCAAGCGCACGTGAGGCATCACCATGCCCATGCCATGGCATATGGCTCCAGAGCGTGGTAGAGATTGTTGGCGTTTTTGCTTTCTTGCCAACGCCATCGTGCAACCACACAGTGACCCACGGAGGTGTTGATCTGCTGATCTGTATAGTGCTTTGAAAGAATAACTGTCAGCTTTATTACATCTGACCCATATCATTCAACGTTGTTGCCAGAGCAGAAAAGAATGGGACCTAACACGTCGTTGCAGCGACTCTCGTTTTGTTACCTGTAGTATAATCATCGGCGACAATGTCAGGCACATTCGACAACCTCCATTAGCACCACCCTGTTAACCTTGTGTCAGTCGAGCACTGACCGCTATGGCACCAAGCTGCTCTGTACGCAACGAGCAATTATTTGCAGTGAAAGTTAGTTACTTGACCAGTGTCCTTGCATAGCACAATCCGTGACTGATTGTCACAAGTCTCATTTCAATGTGGTCACACTGTGACCGTGTTATGCTTGCAATGCAGCATCGTGATTTCTGTCGCATGAGAGATACTAATAGTCGGTATAGCAACCATATGGCTCGTAGTGTTTTATTCCAGTTATGTGACTCTCACCGCGAATACAGAATGATTGCACCCGGACACTATGGTGCAGAGCCAAATAAAAAACCTGTTCTACCATAATAGTTGAAATAGTTACAAGTACTTTTAAAAGAATTACCATGGATGCCTCATGGACACCTGGAACATGAAGCAAGATCAGCGGCAGAAAGTGATCCAACTGAGAACCTTTGTTGAGCCTTTGGACGGTACTGACTGCAACAGTAGTAGTTCAGTGCAGTAGAATTACCATGCATATCATCACTCCACTGTTGTGGATTACCTATGCTAACAACTCCAAGCGGCTAGCGCCAAGGACCTTCCGCCATCTAGGCTGCTACTTGGCATATTTCAAGCAGACTTGAAATAAGAATAGTAGAGCATTATGGTAGTGTTCCCTGCATGCAATATGTCTTCATCTCAAGCAACTGTTAGTTCCACATGTCACATCATTGACAACAGATCTATCCTGTGAACCGATTCTATTCTATCCTGGCCAAGACAGGACTGGCAAAACCATCCCACATCGACTGTAGTCACCCTCCTTGGCCCACATGCTCATGGGTTAGGATAGGCCGCTGAACTTGATGTGCAGTGCCGTCCCAGCTCCACCAATCCTATTACCGATTACACAAACAAATTGTGAATGCAAACACGGCCACCAACCTGTGATTCCCGGTGACTAGGAAATCGCTAATTTGACCACAAAAAAAACACACAGTAGGCCGGTTAGTCCTCTATGTTCACAATACAACTCGTTCAGAAAGAGCACTTATAGAGAGATGACGTTTGCACCAAGTCCAAGACTTGGCTGTGTGGATATTCAAGTTGATTTATGAATGGCAATGAGGTGTCACAGCAGCTAACGCTAACGTTACAAAGCCTGAATATTGTCTTCTCTGCAAGACTAGTAGCAGTATGGTAACATGCCTAAATCATTGCTTAGAGTCACCTCACTCGGTGCGGGCTAGCACTGCCCTACATGTGAGCTAACAGAACTGCTAGTAGAACTAATTTGAAGTACAAGTGGAGGATAAACAATGGAATCTCTATCCCTAATAATTATTATTTTCCTAGCATGAGGGGAACTCTAGATGATATAAAGTGAATTTCGTATTGTGCAATATAAAAATTTACCTATGGACTGAGGCCAATGGAGGCATAACAAGGGTAATCTTTTCTTGTGCAAAGTCTATATCTTGAGAAGTGGTTCTGGTGTTGTCAATGTGACACTTCACTATGGACTGCCAGCACTGGCACTAGTAAATGGCAAGTAAGGAAGTGCACATGCATGACATGTGCCGGTGACTTACGACATAGGCAACCTACTGTGTTTGGTGGCACAGCACCCAGACACGCTGCTATTCCTTGGCATCTGCAACCCCGCCACTTGTTAGTGCAAAGCTGGCCTCACTCTCTGGCATATCAGGGCTACGGGAAATAGGCAAAAAGGACAGAAGGTAGTGAAGCTGTTGCAGTTCAGCAATAAATTCAGACATTATCCACGTTTGGTACCAGAGAGGCATTTGCACAGTGTACAACAGCTGGGCAATACTGAACAAGACTAGTTTATCATGTACAGTGCCGGTCAGTGTAGCTGGACCCCGTAGCGTAGGTGCTGATCGATACTTCTCATGTCATCACCATCATATTGATGTCACACCATGCGCAGATCATTTTAGTATGGCTGCCATTTTTGCATTGATACACTACGTCATCTTGTTTTTGCTCTGTTCTGTTGACACATTCGCTTGTAGTTTCTCTTCTTCTCCATGCAATCCAATCATAGAAGAAACTGAACCCTCCGTTTCTAGCTGAGACACCACAATTGGCAAAGAAGGTGGCACGCTGATTGAAGGAAAAATGTACAAGCTGTTGGCTGACCTGGTTAGCCCAGACAAACCGAAAGAAAAGACGCTCAAGGATCTGTCAGATACCCTGGCTGAACATTTCGCGCCCAAGTCCCATTCTGACACAGCCCCGCTTGAGTTCTTGCCTCACTTCCTGTTGTCGTATCGCACAACACCACATGCTACAGCGAATGCCACACAACATTCTTGCTACTACACCAGCAGTAACTCCCGCACCCATTAATGTTGTCCTTGGTCCAACTGCTATATGTAGCCTTCAGACATCTGTTGCCACGAAGCAGGCAGCTCAGAGTAGTGCAAGATCAGCAAACCGGTGCAAGTTTGCAGTGGATGACGCTGTCATGGTCCGCGACTACCGCACCAATGCACCAAACCCATGGATTCATGGCACAGTTCAAGCTGTACACGGCGCTCGTCACTACACAGTGGAAGTTAGCCCTGACCAACAATGGAGGTACCATGTGGAACAGGTTCCCCCAGCCGACTCCACTCCACACCCAACCGCACCAGTAAGTGCATCGCCTTTGCTGTCCACCGAAGCACCGACAGAGCCAGATCACAGTTTGTTTCTTTCGACGGCTCATTTGCTGGCTAGTGTCCTGACACCCAGTGTTGAAGCCGTTGCTCCTCCAGCAGCTCCACATACGCAGTTCCAGCACTATTGCAACACGGCAGACCCAACTACTGCTGACACAGGCTACAACTGTGCCCCGTCGTAACCCTCCAAGAACTGGAGTTCTGCCAGCTCGCCTAAGAGATTAAAACATTTTCCTGGCCGCTCTGATAGAATGTTGCTCACCTAGTTGATGAATTATTGTGCTCTCGGCCTACCCACTAGCTTTCTCTTGTGTATATATTAAAATTAATGTATATATGCTTAGCAACCCTAGTATACATGTAGGGGAGGAAATGTATTGTATGTGCTGATAATGCTGTACACTCATCAGGGTTCTAGACAGGAAAAAAATTGTAGTGGGGAAGGGGCAGGGAAACAAATAGTTCACCCATTTTTTCATGTCTTTGTCACACAAAATGCAACGTGTTCACATCTTCCAGCTTCAGAGAAATGAGTAGTAGGAGGGGAAACACACGTAACTAGACTCACCTGTCATAGATCTTTGCTATCCTGACTTCTCCCCTGCCCTTGCGCAGGCTCAAACGAGTTGTTGACGCATGTGCTAGAATGTGACCACCGATAGGCTTCTTCGGATCAGCTTGAAACCTAAAAACGAGACCACGAGGACACTGTTTTCAATGGGTACAACAGTTACGCCAAATCCTAACTTTATCTCTACCGAAGCCAATAAAGAGCCTTGCCACTATCGAGTGAGCTATCGAATACTGTAAATATACAATTTTTCGGCAGCTAAAGTTTAATTTCGGCTATATTCGGCACCGACCCAAAACACCTAAATTAAAGGGGAAGTTAAGGAGGCTCCCACCTAAAGAAGTAAAAATAAAAGGTCCATGGACCCCCTGTTTTTTATGCATAGAATGGTGGAGTGATGTCTCCTCTTCAACTTGGTATAGTTTTTAGGTAGGGTCACCAGGCATATAAGAGGTATTCTGGTGTATTTAGTGAGTGTACAATTTCTTGATTTTCGGTAAAATAATGGTAAAAAAATTTGGTTTTTGACCCAAAGAAGGCTCCGGGAGGGAGAATACTAAGCATTTTCTTCATCATATGTTTAAGAACCACATTTGGAGGTATCTTGGGTACACAAGATAGACTGTGTCTTGGTTTTGCCCTTGGCGAGCCACTTTTTCGAAATTACGGGTACCGAAATTTCCATCGGGTGCTGAATTGTGAAATGGTTCAGCCTGCAACATTTTGTCCATGGACATATCGATTTTTGTGGCTTTCTGTGATCCATGAGCCCCAAGGAAACCGATAATGGACAGTTTTTATGGTGTCACCAGGCACTTTAGGCCCCTACGAAACAATATAGGTATCAAAATATGGTATTTTTAGGCCAATTCTGAAAATAGCATTTTTAGAAAATCTGACCATTCTTGCCTTCTGGACTACATAGCACTACCAATGACATGGTAGTATGGTAATATTATGTTAGAAGAAGTTATTTCCATGCTGCAACCTCCTTTGGACATACCAGATGGTCTGTGGTTGGAAAGGTACATGTATCCGATATTACATGTACATCATGTAGCCATCAGTCCTAGCACATTGATATACGAGTAGTGTACATGTAAGGCAGAGAGGTTTCATAACAACCTCGACCATGAAACTGGCACATGAATAATGTGAAATCAGGCATTCAAAATCAGGCACACTAGACACCCACACGTGTGCGTGCACACGCACATACATGTAAACACCCACCCACATGCACTCTCATGCACGCATCATTGTAACACTACTAGTCCATACTGGACCATAGTAGGACTTAGTGTAAATAAAAGCATGAAGACCAGCCACTGCACTGGGCATGCATTTGCTGGTTGTCACTTGCGTTGATAGCAGCAGACTGCAGAAAAACACACGCTATGTACAATGTATGTGAAGGGCAATATGCATCTACACACGCTGGCGTGCAGCACACATACCATGTACATGTAGTGTACTGTCATGATCTCTTGGCAATTCTTTTTTGTGTCTCAAATGCGGTTCACAAATGTGCATTCACATGCACCTCCTGTACTGTAAAGCCACTGCCACACTGTCCTTGGCAAGTTGCGGGCACCAGAGAATAGAGCCATACAGAACCAGCACCGTGAGCCCCCCCCCCCCCTTCCACACCTAGCTTTGCACACGCGCGCGCGCGCGTGCATGCGCACACACGCACGTGCATGCGCACACACGCACGTGCATCCACACACACGCACGTGCATCCACACATACATGTACGCAGACATTTGCATGCACATGCACACAGTGTACTCGTGGGAACATGTGCATAACCCAGATCAACATTGCATGCGAACCCACACATGCGGGCACGAGCACGCGCGCACACACACACACACACACGCACAAACACATGTGCGCACACACACACATACACACATGTGCACACACACACACACTCATACACCTGCCCACCGCTGAAGCGAGGAGAGCGAACAAACTACGTTAGACATAGCAACTTGTGCTCGGATTACACCTTTCAACAGCTTGCACACACATACACACACGCGCGTGCGTGCACGTACACACGCGCACATACACACACACATACACACACACACACACACACATAAATGCATGTACTTGCGCATAGGAAAGGATTCAAAATATTCAGCCATAGACAATTACCCAATGCACACCTGAGTGTGCACATCTTAGTTGTGGCATCCCCATTTTTACAAGAGCAGGATTTAGAAGTTCGTCCTTGGTTCAAAACACAAGCTTCTGGCCAGCGCTTTCCTTACACCATCAGTACAGTACAGTGGTTGACACGAACCTCATTCCTACAGGGACAGCAGCCCAAGTTCAGCAGCTCTGAGATACGTTGTCCATTGAGCTCAGGATACTCAAGGATCCACCGAAAGTTTCAAACGGCACTCGTGCGACTGGAGCTGCAAGTGGGTCCACTTACCAGCGAGTGGGCAGCCACTTCATGCTCCACAGGTAGTCCATGCTAAATTCCAGTACCAGTACTAGTATCACTACGTTCGACATCGATGTCTTCACTGACTTCAGCCTGCTTTTCTCACCCTTCTTCGTCAGTAATTATTTTCTTCTTTGTGGCCACCGCGTACCGCTTCAGCAAAGTTTTCAGAAAAAATCAAGCAGCGTAGGAACTGCCTTTGTTTTGCATTAGCCATGGTCAGTGATTCATTCCAGCGTAGAAACTGCCACGGCTACAGAAACACTGCAACAAGTAGAACTACATCCTGGAACAACTGCGAGCACAGAGAAATCAAAAAACTTCTTTCTGAACAACAGCTTGTTTTCGCATGGAACGCGATATTTTTTGAATCTCGCGGCAAAAAACAGATTTTGGAGGTGCCCTTTTTACACTGCGCTGCGCAACTGTTCGGAGCCTCCTTAAGGCAAAAATCAAAATTTCACCAGTTATAGTCTTTGGGGCGCTGAGTCGAATGGTCGTGGTCCGAGAAAGCTGAGACGCTCCCTTCCTACTTGAATCCCAATCGAACTCGCGCACTTCCACCGAAACTGGGTGACTGCGCCCTACTAGATGGGGATTTGTATGCAAAATGTCACTAAAAGCGTCATTTCGTTCTTTGTAAAAGCACGGATGACTGCGATTGACCCATATGTTGTAGTCTTTTGGACGCTGAGTCGACTGGTTTTGGTCCGAAAAGGCTGCGATGCAGCGTTCCTCCTTTATTCCCAATCGAACATGGTTGAACAAGCGGTCACGTGCTCCTGGGTGCCCAAATCACCTGGTCACCACGCCAGCAGGCGACAACTTTCACACCAAGGTTCAACTCGAGTGACAGGAGTGCACCCAAAAAAGGTCAAACAGGCTAGTAAGTTGTACCCTGCAGGCACGGTGACCAGGTGACTGGTGTACGCAGGAGCACGTGACCGCTTGTTCAACCATGTTTGATTGGGAATAAAGGAGGAACGCTGCATCGCAGCCTTTTCGGACCAAAACCAGTCGACTCGGTGTCCAAAAGACTACAACATATGGGCCAATTGCGGTCCTCCATGCTTTTATCAGAACGAAATGGGGCCTTTAGTGACATTTTGCATACAAACCCCCATCTCGTAGGGCGCAGTCACCCAGTTTCGGTGGAAGTGCGCGAGTTATTGGGATTAAAGTAGGACGGGAGCGTCTCAGCTTCCTCGGACCACGACCATTCGACTCAGCACCCCGAAGACTACAACTGGTGAAATTTTGATTTTTGCCTTAACTTCCCCTTTAAAACGCCGATGAAATTTTTCACAGCATCTGTCGCACTATACCATGCCCTCTACCTCACACCGAAAATAAATCGCCGCCGAAATGTCAAAAATCGTGAAGTGCCGGAATTTTGCAGCGCCGAAATTTTGTTTATTTACAGTACTCGAAAAGGAACGTTTTCATAAAGAACACACTAGTTCTTTCATCAACACCCATATTCAATGTTCACTCTACTTTCTGACGTTTATAGATATTCAGCTGATGTGCGTGACCGTCTTCCAATGCACACAGAGAATAGCACCCGTACAAATGTGCTATCCCACCGCCATCCCATAGACGCAGGAAACATTGCACACAGGCCACAGACAACATACCACGCTGGGTGACTACTGTAAAACCGGGAATTTTCGGTGGTGCCAATATTTTCGGTATTTCCCAAAATCAACGGTTCGGTAGCACGGAAATTTCGGTAAACCAGTTCTCCAGATCCAAAAATGCATGTTGCACACTGTGTGGCATGGCATGGTTGAATTTTGGGCCGCGTTTGGTCAACATGAAGAGGTCAGTGCTCAGGGAACTGGTTGGGTATTTTTTGTAATTTTAGGATGTTTCTGGGTGTTTGGGGGGGGGGGGGGGGGTGGGTGAGCTCTCATAGTCAGCATGCACCAGCACTTTGTAGAGGTGGACCTAAAAGGCAGTTAGGGATATGGGAGCTGATAATTCTCCCCGGTAAGTTGATCAAGCAGCTACGTAACATCAAGCAGGTATGTAGCAGCACATTTGCGTCAAGCAATGTATAATCACTATGTGGCCCTCAAACTCCTGCTACGCACTTGAAGTGGGCACACTATTGCTATAGCAACTCAACAAAATCATAATTCACTTCAGAAACAGTTCAACTTCTTTTCCACGACTGACTGAACTTACGACATTGTGGCTATTGATGATATCCGCATAGAACATGGTGAAAAGCAAAGCACAGTAGAAAACGCCACTGTCATTCAAACACACATCAATGGTTTTTGCTCTGTGATATCCTCGTATTATACTTACTGCATGTCCACCCAAATCATACTCCAGCATCTGGTCAGATCGGATGCTGATTGGCTGGAACCATGGTTTCCTACCGTATCATGGGATAATTTGCGTTAACGCATATACTTGTTATTAGTACTAAAAAAACGCCTGTGGTGGAGGTGGACTCGTGACTTGTCAGTAGTTTGACGTATTCTCACTTGATTGGCACTTGTACACGGTTAATCATAGATAGTAGACACCCTTACTAGCAAAACACGTTATGTTGTAACGGTATTATCGTAAGGGGGAAATACCGTGATTTGGGTTCGACCTTTAGCAAGATGCACGATATTTTTAGTATGCTGTTGCCACGAGAATAGCTTTGATTTCGCGTGGTACAACCATTTTTGTCACCATATACGCGATACAAGGTGAAATGCGTACGGACTATGCAATATCTGGCCAAAACACGTACCGTTGGTCACAACGATAAATCAGCCCCCATAACGTTTATACGCTGCAGCTTCAACGCTATTTGGGTGATCAAGGTACGAGTACCGTAAAAAATAGCGTTGCTGTTGTTTGCTAAGGGTATGATAGACCTGCGGCAATGTTAATGAACAGGAGGAAACACAAATTTGCTTCTTCAATGACCTTATTGTGACACATCTACCGTATTTCCTCGATTAATAGACCCGGTCTTTTGTTTTTTGAAGAGGGTTGGACCCCGGTCTCTTATTTGGGCATGGTCCATTATTTGAGCACGGTCCACTATATTTTCATCGGCACATCGCTGGAAATGGTGAATTTTGTAACACGTCATAATATAGAAGTTCTATATTATGACGTGTTAAAAATCCACCATTTCCAGCGATGTGCCGATGAAAATATAGTGGCCCGTGCTCAAATAATGAAAGAAAGCACTAGCCACTACAAAAATTGTAGTTGCGCAACCTAAAATCGCGTCCTTTTTTGATCCACCACGTGCTTTCTTAGTGCGCATGCGCAAAGCGATGAACTCAAATAAGAGACCGGGTCTCTTATTCGGGCATGGTCTACTATTTGAGCATGGTCTATTATTCGAGCATGGTCCATTAATCGAGGAAATACGGTATGCAAGAAAGTGATTCTTACCTCCAGGGTCAGCAGTCATCTGAAAATGAAGGTGAACGACGAGCAAAGAAGAAGACAGAACAGCGGAGACAAAATCAGTACTGACTGTAAATTTACTACAGATGATTCTATCGTCCTGCAACCACTGAACGTGTCAGCCATGACGGTTGCACACAGTAAAACGTTATACTGCCACTTCACCGTGCGACAAGTGAGTTGCAAAGCTCACAACAAAATGCATTTCCCCGTTGCAAATGAGTAGCAAAGAGTGTTACCCGGTCACTGTTGGAATTCTTAGAATACTCTGCAAAATCCAGTGCTTGGACACGGTACAACCACCATACCTGATTGGTAATGAATATCGCTACATTGTACTCTGCAGAGAAACACAATCATTGAAAAATCCAAAAAAGACGTTCATCAATTCAAGATCAGGTTGGGCGCTTCCAGCAGCTTCATATTATTGAGAAAAAAACCCTCCCTATTATTAGGGCTGATACTGTATTTTCTGTAATTGGGGCCGGTCTTTTATTACCACCTCTATGAAATAAGTGCCACATCATTTCAGGGCTTTTGTGTGGATGTTTCAAATTGGGTGAAATTTTAGGGCTCTTTTAAACTACTGAGCGGTTCGGCCAGTATTGCCGAAAATACGGTATAACATAACCCTATTTATTTACTGGAAGGTCTTTAAAAAGTCCTGGTGGTGGCAATCATTTTCTTGTACATGTAGATCTTTCCCTTTGCAACTCTATCTAATGCACTTCTATTGATTACTCTTGAGCTGTTAATGGAGAGATTTCATCGATACTCTAACAAATCATGCAAAAACAGGTGTACTGGTACGAGAGATTGTTGTTTGGGATGCACGAGGAAAAGGTGTGAAGCAGGCGAGATTCATAATGAAGACAGTGTGCTGCTCATCAACCCATAATCATACTTACCTGCTCTTGGCTATTGACTCTCTTGATAACGATTACTTCATTGCCACATGGGATCTTTTCTCTTCATTCATTAATTAAATGCACGGGGCGTGTCGGATCATGGGTGGTGGCATCTCACTGAAGCAGAAATAATGTTCTGGTTGAAGTTCCTGGAGCATATCCAGCCATCAGTACATGGGCTTTTGACCATGACCTTTCACTTCATCTCCTTACTTACCTTCTGAGATCTTCTGCAGCCGTGACAACAATTGAGCAAGTTTTTGCTGTCGATCTGCTAGCTCACCGCGGCCACTGAAGTCAACCCGGAACAGGGCCATTATACTGTCAACCACCTAGAGGTTAAATAACAACAAGAACAAGAACAACCATGATGATGATGATGATCATCATCATCATCGGATGATGATGACGATAATAAGTACAAGAACACCGCCGTCATCGAGAATCATCCATATAGGCAAGGGAAGTTGAAGCACTGCCTGCTAACTAACATAGCTACATGCTCCAAAATGCAAACAAAGTGGATGTTAGCAATCAGAATGAAGGTGGTCTTTTCATTTTAGTTTTAATTGTTGGCCATACAAGTCTCTCAGCCCATACCAGAAGTTTGAAAACACCCAGCTCTTCATGGAATTTTGCGGCCACAAAATCAAGAAGCTCTGCCTGATGTTCACCTGCAGAACCAAAGCCAACACCATATCAACATTCTGAACAGTTTGAAGATGTGACATTCTCTGGAACACATCAAGAGGGGAGGGAGGGGGGGGGGCACCTGGGGCAGTGACCTATCTCAACTGGAGAAGTAACCGCTGGAAGAAAACGTTCCAAATCCAAGCAGACCCGCTTAGTCTTCCAGTCATACCTATTCCAAGCATCTGCCGCTCTCCCTACTCCCACTGCGCGCATGCTGGCCTTTGCTGTGCGTAGTATGAAGCATACTTAGAACACACGGTGTGAGTTTTCGCCGTCGGAAACCCTGTATGCAGAGTTGCACACACCTCGGCGCCTTGGCAAGTTTATCTTATTGCTCTACGAACAGTTAGCTGTTTCAACATTGTTAGGAGGTGATTATTCGTGCAACCCCAGCCTGGATGGTTGATAGACCGGCTGCATATAGTAACACTCCAGCCCGGGCTGGTCAACAACCTCGTGGACAGGAAGGCAGTGTGCATCTGGGATCTTGGGCATGTAGACAGACATAGCAGACACCATAATATGTGCTTATAAATCAAATGGACTTGCCCGGTCAGACGTGATTTCAGGTACACACACCTCAACTCAGGACCCCGCCTGGCCGGGCCAGCCTATTAGACATGTGAATGCAACAGGAGTTTTCAGTTTGTTAACATTTCAGCCAGCCCGGGCTGGAATAACTGCACATGCAATCAGTCAATCACCATATTTATTAGATGTGACAAGATCAGGGTGTATAGTAAACCTGTGTAAAGTTGTCGTTGTTGTTGACTTTATTTTACTTCACCAACTGCAGGCATGTTTGCCTTCTAATCTCACCGTCCCATAGGTCCGGTTCTCACAGAAAGATGAAGTGAAACTATAATAAACACTTGAGACTCCAGCTAACAGAGCAAAACTTAGTGTACATTCAAACTAAGACAATACACAGCAGGTAACCTTACTTGTATATGCACGGGCATACAGGACATTTTCCAACACTGCTTCATGATCCAGGTTGAATCGGTCTGCAATCTCTTTCAGTCGATCAGGCCGGCTATGATCTTAGTAAAGGAACTGGCTAAACGGTAACAATCAACACCATTGATTTCATGCACAGTGAAGAAGTATAAGTTCTAGTAGAGGTTTTGTGACTATGTCATTATTTGGGGAGGACCATATGGAATGGCATCACAAGCACTGGTTTTCCACTATAGGGAAAAAACTACAACTGACGAACGAAAGGCAAGTGCAAAAAGCAACTCTCTGTTGTTCCCATACACCTCAAGAAGGGGACGTCTTCCATTTTGACGCAATGCAGGTGTTGGCACAACATCTCCAGCCTACATACTGTGCTAGCCAAACTTTGGGATAGTCACCCGGCCGATACGCTCTCTTAGCTAAACGCCACTCATACGCTTGCGTGCTCGTTTTATTTTGGCTTTGCTGCACAAGGCCTCCATATTGTGATGAACATTGGTATGCTCTGTCCATGAAAAGCAGTTCAAAAATGTCCTATATGCCAACCATTATAATGAACACTGAGTATCGTCTTCCACTTGGATGCCAGCAAATGGACTGAGGCTGTGTTTACATGAGAAATTTCAACCCGGGTTGAAAGTCTGTACGATAGACAAAAGAGGTGAGCGTTTACATGAAGACAGTTGACCCGGGTCAAATACCGATATGCCGCCAAAAGTCCACTTCTACAGTCCTGTATGGTCACGTGAATCCGTTCGCGCGAAATTTGCATCTGCAGTGCTGTTCAAACCTGGCGCGAGATACGCACAGAAGCACGTTTGTACGATGTTCTTGACCCGGGTTGATATCAACCCTCCCCTTGGGGGGAGGGTTGAAATCAACCCGGGGCGAAATTTCAACCCGGGTCAAGCGCAATGCGTCATGTAAACGCAACATTCATTTTGTGTATATGGCGGGTTGAAATCTGACCCGGGTCGAACTCAACCCGGGTTGAAACGCTTCATGTAAACACAGCCTGATAAAATGAAAGAAAAAAGCAGGCCCAAAGTATTAATAACCAGATAGTTATATAAATCATCCAACTTCATTGAATAATATATGGCACCTGAGAAAGCTGGTTCCATATTCACAACACATGAAAGGATACAAGGTATTCTGTAGGAAACACGTCACACAAAACAGGAAGTACAAGAATGAATGTATGCCTGTTAACAAAATTCAGTATATTAGAAGAACATGGCTCGATTACATTAACTATGGATTAGTTTAGCAAAAATCAACCAAAGATTATTCATATCACTGCTGCAAAGCAGAGAAATCCTAAAGTCCTACATGTAGTATGCAAACTGAGATGTTCACAGGCTCCTTATGTAGAGCACCATAGGAACACTATACTATCTCTATCAGCTAAGGCAATCACCATAACCGCTGTCTCGGCTGCCTAGACACCTTTTTTTCTTAGCGGCAAATGATATCGGAGTCGTCCTCACCAACACCAGCGCTGTGGAGAAGAATTGCATGCAGAAGAAGAAGATTGGTTGTCTGATATCGTAGTTGTCTTAATCCGTGTATGCTACGCTGAAGAGTCTGTGTCTGCCAGACTTCCCATCGAGCAAGTCGTACGACGAGATTTGCACTTTGCTTACTGCTCATTACAAGGACAAGTCTACGACTACTACGGCGGCTTACAAGTTCCGTGAGTGTGTCCATGTCTATCAAACCTTCTGGGCGCAACACCCAAATGATACCTGCGGATAGGTGTGTGATCTTATCACGGCATAACTCAATCATCCGCAGCATCATCCGGCATTTGAAGCGGAGTTCAGGGCCCGGACGAAAAACAAACAAAAAACAAGGGAGAGCCTGGTTGAATGTGCGTCCGCACTCCAGAAATTAGCGCCAGGAAAACACGGATCTATTCCAGCGCCTCCGTGTCAACCAGTTCATTGATGGTCTTCCATCCCTGAACTTCCCAATATTTATACAACACCCAGGAAAATATGATGATTCTTATCATCTTGCAATTGAACATACCTCGGTATCTATAAAGACAACTTTTCCACCGCCATATCCATTACTGCCTGGGAGCTGTGCAGTAACTAAAACAAAATGTCACAAAACACCATATTTACAACCTCAATTATTTCAGTGGAAATAGATGGCTTGCAAAACACAATGCACATCATACCCAAGGCTGTACTGCTAGTGCTGGCACTGAGTACTCAATAGTCAACATGCCCAGAACCTAGTCAACATGCCTTGCACAACTGAATAAGCAGACTTGAGATCGGGAGGTAGCTGCAGGTTCAATGTGACAGCCAGTCGACATACCGGCAGTCCCATAAAAAGCAGCTTCATAGTGATCAGGCCAGTGCCCAGTCCCTACCCCAACAACCAGGAACGAAACACACTGAGTGTGCTCGATTACACACTTGAATCGATTCATGAATCCATTCGTGAATCGATTCAAGTGCGTAATTTCTTCCAAGTAATTGAACGGCGTGAATATGGTGAATCGCAATGAGACTTTCGTTCACGTGGCCATGACGTTGAACAAAAGGTCAAAAGGGGCGTAAGTCGTTGATTGCACGGAAAAAACTGCTGTTTGATACTGACTTTCTTCTCATCGCTTTTCTTTCACATGTACTTGTACATGATGAAGTCACTTTCGCATGTAGAAGATTCCATGTTTCCTTGACGCTAAGTGTTGCCTGAAAATGGACAATATCGAGGCATTCCCTTGGATCTGGACACTGTTTGATGATGACGAGACAGAAGAAATGCTGTTCCCTGCTCGGTGCGATATTGCTCCGCTTATGATGTTCCTGGCTTGTTACCGGCGCGCAGCAGAGCCAAGAGTAACACATTTTGCTGAAGCAACTGTGCCCAGTTATTCTATGGACGATTTTCGCCAGCATTTCCGTGTGACCCAACCCACATTCGAAATCATCGTGGGTCGTGTGGCTAAGAACCCTGGAGTTCCCACTGCACAGCTCTATGGCAGGCAACCCGTCGATTGTGCGAAGCAGGTGATGGTTTGCTTGTGGTTCCTCGGAAATCAAGAGTCGTACCTCAATCTGGCTGATCGCTTTGGGATTAGCAAGCTCACCACCCACAGCATTGTCTGGAGAGTACATGTATGTACAGCCTTGTGCCACTTGATGGAAGATGTAATTGTCTGGCCAAAATCGCAAGTGCTATTGACTCAGGCTGAAGCTGGATTTAAAGAAAATCTGGTGTGCAAGGCATCATCGGTGCCATAGATGGATCGCACATCAATATAGTTCTGCCAGAAGACGATGAGCAGAGCTACTACAATCGCAAGAAGCGCCATTCAATTCAACTGCAAGCTGTATGTGACAGCAACGGTTTGTTTACCGATGTCTATGCCGGTTGGCTGGGCAGTGCACATGGTGTGTTGCGTAACTCACCTCTATTTGAGAAGGCGAACAACAACCGGCAAATGATGTTTCCTGGCAACACATACATCATTGGTGATTCTGCCTACGCTATCCGCAACTGGCTGCTCGCTATGCTGAAATACAATGGAAACCTTTCCCCTGTCCAGAAGAATTACACCAAGCGAATCTCGAAAGCAAGAGTGGTCATTGAGCGCGCATTTGGTCTTCTGAAAGGACGATGGAGACGGCTTCAACTCGTCCATGCAGATGTAGGAAGAATTCCAACTAATTTCATTATCAGCTGTTGTGTCCTTCACAGCCTGTGCCTGCTGGAAGAAGATGAAGTGGAAGATTTTATGGACGTAGACGATAATGATGATAATGAGGAGCTGGATGCTATCTTACCTCCACAGCAGGGTGGTCAAGCATTGCAGCAACACGTCTTGAATCTTGTGGCAGCACTACCACAATTGGTCTAACAGTGTTCCACCTGAGGAATTGTGTGTCCGCCGAAGTTGCCGAAGTCGCACCAACCTCTTCTTCAGATTGTTCTACCCATATGTCTATTCAGCAGACTGGAGAAATACGTGATGGAAATGCGCTAAGTTGTCCATGTAGATTTGCAATAATTCCAACTGTCAATAATGAATTGATCAACATGAGCCTCCTGCCGCATTAGTGGTTTCTGAGGCAGCTATTGGTTTTTGAATTTTATAGAGCTCCTTATTCAGCTGTGCCTGTGCAGGTTTTGCGGTCGGTTGGTTCTCACCACGGCTTGGATTTCGGGTATACATGTACATGTAATTCCAATTTCTGTCGATTACATAGCATGGTACATGTACAGTATGGTGTAGAATCATTGTCTTGTAGCTTGTCCAGTCATTCCATGCATCTTGAAATCTTGTCACACATCGAATTTCTTAGTCTCTTAGTAGACCTGCACATGTCTTGATGTTATCAGCGCTCACAAGTAACTTGATCATCATCAAAACGGTACAAGATGAATCAATGATACTTATTCTTTTTTTGCAATTTCTCTTGTAGGAGTACAATCTTGTATTCATCAGCAAGTACATGTACGCACGCGTCATGTATGGAATTCAAGTCAACAAAATAAGGAATGCGGCCAGGTTAGTTTGGCGCTCAGGAAAGGCCAGAAAATGGGAGAGTTAGAGAGAGAGAGAGAGAGCAGGGAGAAGATATAGTTATGCATGTGAGTCACAAAATGAAGGAAAACTCGTAAACCAGAAGCCAATGGGAAAGCCAGAGGAAGCCAGAAGGAGACTGAGAAGGCACGCAAGGGAGATAGGAGTAAGAACCGTTACTGCAAATAACTGTTTCTGTCAATCATGGAGAAGAACTGATAACTTATTTCTTTTAAAATAGAAGAAAACACAAGGGAACGAGTTATGAAGCAACTAACCATGACTGTAACAAGATACTAATAGGCAGTCAGAAAGTGCGCTATCAGGGCACAAAACTGCCAAGCTACTAAGACATTCAACGACATGACACCTAGCTCTAACACATCGGTATCCGCGTTAAACTTTATTTCTTCTCCATGATTGACAGATACCGATCAAACATATGCATCTTCTGCTCATGCATTTCCCCACCTTCTCCATGCATGCCTTCTCGGTCGCCTTCTGGTCTGCAGCATAGCTTGTCAGAAATGATGTGACTTCGCCGCTGCGGCTCCTGGCGCTGGATTTCCTAGCATGCGGCTTGTACTCTGCTCCCGTCTTCTTGTTCTTGTTCTTTGGCGTATCTTCGCTCTTCGTCACCTGCTTTGCTTTCTTGGCCGGAGTCTCTATTTCGCTGTCAGTTTCATCACACTCTGAACCTTCCGACATGCCAGTAACTAAGCTGATGTACGTAACATCAGTTTCATCTCCAGATGACGATAATTCATTTGCGGGGGATGCTGGGGAACTGTCCACCGCGACAGGGATGGGCAGACCAGAACCAAAACTAGACTTTGGCCTGGAAGCACGGTCGCCTACTATTGCTCCAGTTTCCGCATGGAATGGCGAGTCTCTCTTGGCGCCATTGCCGGACTTCGAGTTGTGGTCCTCCACTTGTCGATAGACGCTCAGCAGCGACTTCCACTTGTTATCACAGTTTCCAGCTGTGACTAGAACCCCTTCCGTGGTGAGCGCCTCCGCAACATCTCACATGGCGTGAGCATGGCTAATATGTTTGCTTTTTATTTTCTGATAAAAACCTCTCTCAGGGTCTTCGCATCCCATGAAGACAAGGAAGCGTCTCGTCTCCGACTCTGTCCAAATTTTTGGCAAAGCCTTGACTTGCCCCTGAGCTTGATCGCTGCCGTCCATGATGGGAAACGAAAAAGAAATTGCGCGAGGAACTGCACGAGGAAGAATAAGTTGATTTGCTGTGAACAGCTAAAACACCATGAAGAGCTCGAAACAGGCGCTCCCTAAGCATGGCAAGGAAGACTTTTCAAAGTCGAGGTCAAAGTTCATCGCCACCATCTCCTCTCCAATCCCTTCCTCCTATCTTACATGCACCTTTTCTAAGTCGAGGTCAAAGTTCATCGCCACTAGGCCTTCCTCCTATACCGGTGCCTTACATGTACCTTTTCAAAGTCCAGGTCAAAGACGCCACCATTTTCTTCTCCCTCCTTTATCTTGCCTTTCCCCTATTTTGTTGTTGGAAGAGATGTGCATGTGGCGGATCAGTTTAGTACCGTCATGACTTTTCAACACGTGGCTTCTTTTCCCGCCACTGCGTTGCCCGGGTGAACCAAAATCGCCCCTGGCTATTCACATCACCCCATGTGAATCGGTGGAATCGATTCCGAATCGATTTCAGGGCTCATGACATGAAAATCGAACGACTTGAATGCATGCGAATGGATTCATGAATCGATTCAAGTGTGTAATCGAACGCACTCACTGTGAACCATAATAAGGTGACACTTAAAAAATCAAAGCGTCCAGGCCATTGGCCGGAAACCTGACCCGGTCTGACTGCCCTGATGAGGCTACAAGTTTTTTTAGTTTTTTTATTTGTTTTAATTAATATTCTGCAGTTTCAAGCTGATTGTTCCACAGAATAATTATATGTAACTTCTAAGTAGTTCTTACCACAAAGAGTATGCGATAATTGCGTCTTTCCTGTGCGGAACTCTAAAAACACAAAAACAGCAAGCCAAGCACTGTAGATCCATCATGAATATCCAGCCTACCCTGTGCTCACAAACATTGAAAGAGAAGAGGTTGCATTTGGGGTAGGAAAGCTCCATTTCTACAACCTAAATGAGTACAATAGATTGAAGGTTGAACACTACTACAAGGAAAGAATATTTGAATGTTCTTTCCTAAAGAGATCAGAACTTCTTTGTTCAGTCATCTGCCAGACAAGCCGCATTTGGAATCAGGCTGGCGATATCACCATATTCCTTCCAGCGGTAAGTATGACCGTTGTCACTTGTACCAGTCCTGCTAGTGCCAACACCCCCCCAGTGTTGTTAACCTTACCTATTTCAAATCACACCTTTGTCCTCACCGAAATACTATTCTTGTTATGGCTTGCTTTTTGGAGAAATAGACTTCAGAAACAAAATTATAAGAACAGTCCATGGGGGATTGCCAAAAAATGTGAAAAAGCTCGAAATTTGACCCTTTTATTTAAATGGCCAAAAGCTAGGATATCATCAGATTCATTTTTTATGAATGGACTGCTACTGTATAAGTACAAATTTTCCTTCACAAAATCTTTCGTTAGATCACTCCACCAGCAGGCTTGTTACGTACTAAATTTCGTTTTGGTCGAGGTCTGTCACCCCTAACGTTCAGAAAAAAACTTTTAGTTTGGTACAAACTTTAGTTATTTTGTGCCCCCTAACGAATATAGCGAAAGTGAATTCCAAACGAAAATTTGTACTTATACAGTATGTGCGTTCGTTACAGATTTCGGTTTCTACATTTTGGGGCTCAAGTCTCACAATGTATTTTTTCTGTTTTTCACTTTTTTTTCTTGAGTCTATGAGCATGCGCACTGAGAGTGGGGGAGGTGATTTATACATAGAGGAAGTTTCCTTTTGCTTGTGTGATTTTGTCTTTGCTTCTGGAGTGAATTGTAATGTTGTACATACGGCTGTGCTTGTAGCTCTTCGTTCTACATGCGCCCGGGCTGCGCTTGTAGCTCTTTGTCGTACCTGCTGCTGCGCTTGTGTCTCTTTGTTGTATATGCTGCTGAACCGTGGTCCACTCTGCTGCACTGTCTTTGACTCCTGTGTACATGCGGCTGCACCGTCTTCTGTCCCCATTGTATACACACTTTCTCGTCTTGTCCCCGTTGTACGCCTTCATAATATATTCCCTTGTCTCGATCAGTTGTCTAGTCGTCTCCTGAGAGCAAGAGCAGAATATTCTCTTTAACTTAAGCAAACAAGTTGGCCTTTTGGTGTGTGTCGCGGTTGCGCAAGAGGAGTGTAGCTCGTCCTTTTTTAGCTGACGACATTTGGCGCTCAACGTGGGGTTTGAACCCACGACCCCGAGGTCAAGAGTCTCATGCTCTACTGACTGCTGTGGAAATTAATAACGCTAAGTAATCCTGCCAGTAAGCAGGTTACATCCAGTGGCAGCGGTGGGATTCGAACCAATAAACCAACGTACAGTATCAATGAGTCAGAGAGTTGTGTTGCTGCGGGGGACGGGGGAGAAGGCCATTTCACACGCCTCCGGAGAGGCTGGAGTTCGTGTCCTCATAATCCAGAGAGGGAGGTTCCTAGCGTTTACAGAGGACCAATTGAGTGTGATCAGCCATCCGCAGATTCCTGCCATCCATTGTCTGAAAATGGGTTTCAATTTGCTCCCATCGCCTACTTGTGTGATGGTTCTCCTGGTTATACTCTGCTCCATCACTCAATGGCAAAAGTCTATCTATGACAAGAAATCAACACAGCCGACATTTGCTCCGAGTGACCATAATTTCCTGCATCATCCCGCTGTGAAGCCCGGCATGACCCCAAAATGTCACCGCCCCTGGAGAGGACCGTTCATCATTGTACGACGAATCGATGGTGTCCTCATACAGATCACGGACGATAAGGGCAATATCCAGACAGCCTTGTCTCGATCAGTTGTCTAGTAGTCTCCTGAGAGCAAGAGCAGAATATTCTCTCTAAGCTAACAAGTTGGCCTTTTGGTGTGTGGCGCGGTTGCGCAAGAGGAGTGTAGCTCGTCCTTTTTTAGCTGACGACATTTGGCGCCCAACGTGGGGCTTGAATATTTTCAGTTCTCCCTTTTGCTTACAAGAGTCAGGTTTCCTTTCTATCCTTTTGGTTTGGTTGAGTGGCGACCCATTTTCGGTTAACAAAAGCACAATGGAGGGTCAACATTATCTGTACGCTGTGCGTGCTATCAAATGCTCAACGCCGCAACTGTCGTCACAGAAGAATCTAGTCCTTACTAAACACAAGCTCACGAGCTCCTCTATCCCAGCCTACACGGGACCGAACCCCGAAAGTAGGAAATAATCGTCAGTAACTCAGAATTGTGCTGAAATGCATTCCGCCGATTTCCGCACCATATCCACTACACCAAACTATTTCAAACTGTTTCAAAGTAGTTTATTGAATTTGTTTGATGATATGTGCAATTCATTTTGCCCGTACAAGAGGCTTTACTACTTTGAAGTACACCAAACTAGGGTACTCATCTTCTTAAAAAGATTACCTCCAAATGCTTCCGTTATTGACATGCTTTCAACTCCACCTGTACAAACACAGAGAAGTAGGACCAAGAGTAGATCAACAAGAGTGTGCAACTCGTGGATGGGTTCAATTGGGTTGGCCCACGGCGGAAATGTTTGTTGACGCAATCTTTTCTGAAAACCATGAGCCACGCGCTGTGTGTAGTTTTGGGAAGTTTTGCCTCGTGCACTTGGCCGGGCTTTACATTTGCTAAACTTACCGTTTTACCTGATGAATTCGCAGCCTCGGGTTTTCACAGACGAGGCCAATCGGAAATTTTGTACTTGGTACACTAAGCACATGAACCCTGTGAACTCAAACGTCGTGCTTTTGACCTTTCGGATTCGGGTCAGCGTTTTGTCTTCTTGTTATGTTTCTCCAGGTTTCAAGCGAAGGACTTAAGGGACAAGGACTAGAGCCTTGTTTTTAGTCCTTTGCATTTCTCAAGCTTTGGTTGATCCTGTTGTGGTTTTCAATCAACAACCACTGATTTACAATCTGTATTGTTTTGCGCGCACGCCCTGTCAGCTGGGTGCTTCCGATTGTGTCGTGGTTCATTAGCAAAGTGAACAATGTAGTGTACTCTGAATCCCGTACGATTTGAACTGCTGTGTACATAGTATGCATGTAGCTTACTGTTATGTTCCGGAGGCTTCTGGATTTATCACCTCGTGTTCCTGTAAATAAAGTAAGTTGCGATCGGAGTGATCTTGAAAGTAGACTGGAGTTTTCAGGTGCGTTCTCCGAACACAACAGATCCTACATGTACTTCTCTCTCCTATTCGAGTCGCACCATTGTAGTCTCTGGCAGGCTATTTGCGGAGATGGATACCCACTTATGGCATGTACGCATGTGCACACTTCTGGTCTCGTACGTGCACTCTACCGTATACGCACGTGCATGCTTTCCCGCATATGCACGCACACTCTCCTGTTCAGAGTTGTTCTCTTCCTGTCGTGTCCGACAATGGTCGTTCTTCTTCTTTCTGTTTCCCAATATCAATGTCGTGAATCTGTGAATATAATAATACTTACCAACATAACAGATCTCTTGGTAGAAGAAAGCATCGTTGTGGCCCTTGGTGATGCACAGGTTGAAACCATGGGAGAAAACACTGCCCCTGCAGCGAAGCGCTCGTCAGCCACCAAAAGGTTGCTGTCCAAGAGGGAACGGAAGAGCGTGGGTGAAATGCTGGAAAAATTAAGCATGAACCCCAATGATGAGATTGTCGGCACCCTAATCCAGCCTCCTTGGTTGAGCACCATTTTACCTACTTCTCTGCACGGAAGATCAGTGTACCTGGAAACAAAGATGAGTGCTCAAGGATCATCCATGTATTGCTGAAGCAGTACAGTTCACTCCATGTCAGTACATCAAACAAAGCTGACAAATATACCAGCTTGCATGTGATGTGGATGGATGCCGTCAGATCCTCAATCAAGTGTGCTGATGCCGAGGCTCTTTTAAGCTACCTATGCATGATCAGTGATGCGTTGTGGCTGCTATTGGAAAATCGGTGTGGCTATTTTGTGGCAACAGTGTGTGGAATCACCTGGTGACTCTCCCTGAAGAATCTGCACCATCTCCTGTAATCTTCAATGAGGAACACGCACAGCGTATTTTGGTGCTGCATTGCAGAGGAGTATGGTAGCTCTGACAAGAAAGAAGAAGCTGTAAGGATATGCTGAAGGCCGATGATCCGGAGAGTCAGCTAGACTTATTACGAGCCATTCGCCTTCCAGATGAAGATAAACCCACTGCTGCCATCCCTCAGTCGCTGAAAACCCTTGATCAAGGATCATTATCATTTCTTCAATCTGAGCACCTGCCTCTTATGAACATGGCAATGTCGAAGATTAGCAGACTTGTGAACCAGTCGGCATTCAAAACATACGGGAAAGACATGGTGAAGGTTACTACAACTTGCATTTCGTACGACACGACACTTTGGGAGCCGTTTACATGTTCCATGACATCTGCATTTCCTGGTAAGTAATTAGTTTAGTGTGGTCAGTCCACATTTGCAGTGGTACATGACTTAGTACTACAGTCAGAACTCGCTTATCCGGCCCTCTTTTATCCGGATCCTTCGCCATCCGGAAGAAAATAGCTGGTTACAAATCTACAGCATACATGGTGCATCCAACATAACCGGTGTTCGGTTATCTGGCTCCCTCGCCTATCCGGACATTTTTGCGGAAAACGGATGTGTGCGGTTAACACGGCGGAATTCTTTGTTGACGTCATCTTTTCTGAAAATCATGAGTCATACCGTTCGATGCACGCGCTGCGAGTAGTTTTGGGAAGTTTTGCCTCGTGCACTTGGCCGGGCTTTACACGTACATTTGCTAAACTTGCCATTTTAGCTGATGAATTCGCAGCCTCGAGTTTTCACAGCCGAGGCCAATCAGGAAATTTGTTGTCAGTACACCAAGCGCATGAACCTGTGAAGTCAAACGTCGTGCTTTTGCCACCTTCTGAAATCAGCTCGTCATGTTGTCTTCTTGTTCAACTTCTCAAGCGAAGGACTGAAGGGACAAGGACTACGTGTAGGGCCGTGTCCCTGTAGTCCTTCGCGCTTCTCAATCTTTGGTTGATCCTACTTCTATTTCGCATTATCGTAGTCTCTAACAGACTGTCTGCGGAGATGGATCTTATCTCTCTGTGGAAGAAAGTATCGTTGTAGCCCATGGTCATCCACAGGTGGAAAACATGGCAGAAACATCTGCAGCGAAGCGCTCGTCAGCCACCAGAAGGTTGCTGTCCACGAGTGAACGTAGAAGCGTGGGCGAAATATCGCGCAGTGGAAAAGTTGAGCACAAACCTCAATGTTGAGACTCTCGGCACCCAGTCTTGCTTGGTTGAACATCATTTCAAGTCGTTTCCGGAGGAAAGTGCACGACATACTTTTGACCTCGGCAAAAACCCGTGCGTGGAAAAAACTACAGGAGCGGGATTGTTTTCTTTTTTGAAAACACAAACTCGTGATGAAGGTCGATGCCCAGCACGTGCTCTGTACGACACACGTCGTGTTTTCTGAAAAAGGTGACGTCAACAAAAATTTCCGCCGGGTATCTGCAGATTGTGCAGAAGAGATCCAGAGTTGCACACTCTTGTTTATCTACTCTTGGTAAGACCTTGCATACCTAGTAGCTAAGAGTATACAAATGAAACAAAATCCATAGTTGAGTCAAAGGGTCAATGTGGGCTATACATGTACAATAGGGAGGTTTAGTTACACGTAACGGATACGGGAACGTGGGTGATACACGTAAAGTTCATGGAATGAACCCACATTCGCAATGTTGTGTTCAGTCACATGGAACAACCAAAAGCATGAAGCAAAAGGCCCAAACTTGGCTAAAGACAGAGTCTCGAACCTTATCGAATATTTTGATTTCGTGCTTCGAAAACTTCTTCAGCTGGGCGCCCTCAGAGGTTGCACAATGCGTTCCATTCTGATTTTCACTCACGCTCTGGCGGAACGTGGGTGAGCCTCCATACACGGTATGTCATGAATCAGAAAACGGCTGTACGTGGGTCATTGAGTATCACGTTGTACACAGACGTAAAGTATACACGGATTACGTGGGACTGAACCTCCCTATTATCTGGGGGAAACCCCAAAAGTGAACCAGGTACTCAGCGAGATTTACAAAGAGTCGTAATCTCAATCCAGTGCTGCGACGGCAGAGCTGCACATCACGCAACATGGTTCAAAAGGTAACATTGGAATTCAGACTAGCCGAGGGCGGAAAGTGACCAGCCAAGGGTGCAAACAATGTGTTCGGATTTGTCACGTGAAGTGAAGATCTGCCGTTGCAGACCCCATAGCTAGAGCTGCACACTCTTGGGGGTTATGTACTCTTGTTGAAAATGCACGTGCTATGTGTGATATCATCATTAGATCAGGGCTTGTTTCTGTCCCTTTGCAAATTATATTCCGTATCCAGAGCTATCCACTGTGCGCGCATGTGCGACGCTCTTCTTCTTGATCTGGCCTTGGCGCATACCAAATGTTCTTATCTCTGGTTTTGGCCTTACTTCTTTTCCTTCCATGTAATGTATTTCTGAACTTTGTGAGCCGTGTGCTTGTAAGTGGAAGAACTGTGCATTAGGTTACAGATAGTGTGCAGACTGATAAAAGCATTGCCCAGAAGAGGAAAACATTTACGAGTGACAAAATAACGGCACTTGAAAATGCATATGGAGCAACTCACCTCCCATTAATTTACTGTTGATGAGAGCCAGTTTGAGAGAGACGTGGAGTGTGTGTGGGGGGGGGGGGGGGGAAGAGAAAAAAGGAGACAGACAGACAAACACACAAAGGCAAAGAATATCACAGGTGCGCTTGCTCTTGGTAAATGCTTACAACGATACACTTATACACTGCAAAAAAGGAAGGGTACTGAACGATCACAAGTTACAGGTGGATAAGATGAAGCTGAAATATTACACTTACTCGAGCTCTGAACTTCCGGTGGAAATTTTGAAGCACATCTTCCGACGATCGCTGTACTCCAGCGCAGTAAGGAAACCTGATTCCTGGCCACAAGAAAGAGAAAAGAAACTGAGAAGAATGACAAGAAGCAGCTTTTCACAACATCAGACGATGAAGAGTTCCTGCATTCTTTCTCACACCTCACATCAGCCAAAACAAGTGCAGGGATGGCTGCGGGCAGCCATATTGCAAGACAAGGTTTGGCTGCGGGCAGCCATATTGCATTATTCTTCAAGGGTAATATCAACGAGAGAGCTTTGAAGCTCAGGGCCCTACGCTATGCTTTTTGCCTTGATGACCTAGACAAAAAAAAGCATAGGGATGTTATAAATTCTTAAAAAAATTCATTTTTTAAAGATATAACCTGGGATTCGAACTCGCACTATCGCGCGCCCTGCATGCATCCCCCGATACACTTCGCATACATACTAATTCTTCCAAGTTGCTTCACGTTATGATCTTCCATTTGAAAGCCCTATTTGAATATGCATTGTGGCCAGCCGTCTTTGATGGTACGGTACGGGATAGGTACGGGACAGGTACGATCGAGGGTAATACGACACCGTATACCGCCTTGATGACGGCAAAAAAAGCATAGGCATGTTATAAATTTTTCAATTCTCCTGTTTTTTTCAGGCATATCCTGGGATTCGAACCCGCACTATCGCCCTACATGCATTCCCCCATACACTTTGCATTCATACCCATTCTTCCAAGTTGCTCTACGTTATGATCTTGCGTTTGAAAGCCCTATTTGAATATTGCGGCCAGCTGTATGTGGCCAGCTGTGTTTGATGGTACGGTACGGTACGGGACAGATACGGGATAGCGCCAGGCGTGACACAAACAAACAAACACACAAATACCATAATTATTAAAGCTGTGTGGACCCTGGCTAGCGCCAGACGTTACTGAAGTAACGTCTTCTGCATAGCTACGGGAATAAATTTCTATGGAATAGGACTAGGAAGGTACTGATTCATAACAACAAAAACTAAAAACTAAAAGGCAAGACTGCCAACAGCTGGCAGAATCGATTGCCCCGCACTAAAGAAATTAATGCTAAACTGAAAGTGATAAGATGAGAATTCCACCTATTTCACATGCTTTACACCATACTTATATTAGTAAGGCAAACACAAGGGCGGGTGGGTGGGCCCTTGCAATGCAGGACAAAAAGAGACCGATTCAAACTGCACAAGCGCTTTTCAACGCTTGCACAACTTTCTGTGTCATTACCATGACACCAGCGTAATAGTCAAAAATAAATGAATAGAAAAACACAAAACAAAAAGCAAAACACACAAAAACAAGCATCGCAGATGTTCGTCATTCGAAAGAACAATGCTTCTTATTTATTTCAAATATTCAGCCAACGAGAAGCATACATATACATACACTTTTTGGCAATCAATGTATGCCGGTTTTCACAGCAATGATATAATCCATTTTGATACAGAGCAGTATGTTGCAGTTTGCCCAGACGATCACACTGTCGCTGACCTGCACATTGATATTTGTTTGATATTTATTATTCGTACCTTTGCAGCACTGCACAGTTTGTACGAGGACTTGGAGATTTATGCAGTGCATGTCTACAGCTTATTTGAATGCGTGCCTACTGCGCAGTACTAGTCCCTTGTATAGTACGCGAGTTGTAGTGCGGGTTAGCATACAGGTGTGAACGCTACGCACTTTTCATGCAAGCTACTTTTCTGCATTCTGTACTTGCTTTCATGCACGTGTCGCTGGCATACGCGATACGGGCCGGGTTTGTGTATTGGTTTTTGAACCATGTGGTTCTTCTTTTCAGTTTAGTTGTTCTTTGGTTGCTCCGCGAGTTGTTGCTTTGGTTGGAGACAAAGATGGCTTTCCGTTTCAGTAATATAATGTAATGTAACTATAACTGATAGTATACTGTTGAGTGTCGGGATGCGTTGGGACCCCGACACCAATACAAACTGCAAAATTGCTAGTTGACAGGAAACCACAACGGAGAATAACAGGCTAGCTCTCAAGCTGAGGCGAGGGGGATGAAAACCATGCATGCCCACACTCCATAGATACCGGCCAGGTAAAGTGATTCTTTTCAAACTAGGTAACAATTAGGCTGTCCCCACAGGATACCGCGATTCCGCGGACGCGGAATTTTCCGCGTTATTGGTTATCATCGATTTCGCATAAATCCCGCGTTATTCATGAGAATGTACAAGAAAATAGTGCATGCTGTTGAAAATGTACTACAAAGTCGTATGGGTTCATGAGTTTGTACGACAAAGTTGTATTCTTGCATGAGACTGCACGCTAAAGTTGTACCAGTGACAGATAACTCGTGCATAATGACCGCATTAACCTGCATATTTGCCGCATAATCCCGCATATTTGCCGCGTAATGTCCTGTTTTCACCCGCATGATTATGCGCATAATTTTAGGATTTTTGTCCGCGTTATTCTGTGGGGACAGATTAGGAGTTGTGCTAGAGAAGCGATTCATTATTGATGGAAAGTGACTTACAGCAAGTTTCAGGGAGGCTTCCTGAGCAAGACAAAAAGAGATCACATAACAGTCTCGGTAGCAAAATCAGCGTTTTACAGATTACACAGTTCAGTAGAGCCTCCCCTATCTGAACATCTCCCTCAGCCGGTTACCTCAGAGGGAAGTATCGTCAGCCAAGTCATGAGTATGTATTCATTCTTGTTGCGATAAGCTAAACTGCTTTACAGCATACTGTCAAACGAAAAGCATTGTACTGTATGGCAATGCACGGGATTGAAACACATGCCGAGAGTTCTATATGTTTGCAGAAAATTGAAGAAATGTTTATCAGAATGGACGTGGCGAACCATCAGGAAGAAGCACAAGTGCTAAACCAACTTCAAGGAGTCAACACAGAACACGGTGTATGCCAAAAACTGACATCTTCAATAGGTAAACAGTCGTGGTTAGGATGCGATGCAAATACATGATTGTGTGTACAAACACCGGAGGCGAAGGGTTGTTCAACTGTAAGTTTTGTGCACTGGAGCGATCATTAGACAGCAGCACTTACATACATGTGAGTACGTATGCATTATTTGCAGCTGATTTACATTCAGTGTACAACTTTTTTCTGGTTAGCATAAAAGTTACCGGCCCTGGCGCACAGCTCGTCGTGTTTCTCACAGTTAGAGCACTCTGCCTTTGATGACTCGAGCCGGGTTGAAAAATATACTTTCTTGTTCACCAGACCTCATTGCGATCGGCTCGACCAGTCACTATGAGCTCTGTACCATCCCTGTACTGTAAAAGCAGAAATTGTCGGTCGTGTAATATTTTCGGTATTCTCCAAAATCGGCGGTTCGGTGGAGGGAAATTTTTGGTAAAACCCGTTTTCCAGGTAAGTGTACTAGTACTACATGTATACAGTACCGGTTGAAACGAAATTTTCGGTGCGTTTTATTTTCGGTAAAAATTGTCGGCACTGAAATTACCGAAAATAAAACACCACCGAAAATTTCTGCTTTTACAGTACCAGAATCCACTTTATAGATACTACTTGTGTCATTATGACTTACCTTGATTTTGTCCACCTTGGCCTCGGAGATGCCTTTTATTGCACACAGACGTTTCCTTGTTGTCATTTGAATTCCCTATGCAGCATAAAATGCGAACCAGTATTTAGAGTTTAGACCCATGTAGGGACTAAGAATAGGGTGAAACAAATTTACTCTACATGTCTACTGGTAGAAGTAGACCACTCTTCTTTATGCAGAAAGCGGGTATTTTGATTCTGTAAAGAATCGCTCTTCAAGTTTCAAGAGATCCAGAGCTCATTTTCACTTTCATTGATCAAAAAATCAGGACCTGTGTACTTTACCAGATTCTGATTCGGTAGAGATGGTAGCACGCGGTAGAGCTACAAGTTTTAGTACAAACAGTCATACCAAACACCCTACTCAAACTGGTAGAGCTACATCTACAGTGCCGGTAGATTAATAATGAATGCATTCATCTTTATTCCGAGGCTTTCTTTTAACGGAGAGTCTCGCCCCAGACGAAACTTGCGGCATTAGATGGAAGAGAGCTGAGAAATCCATCCACAAGCCACAAGCTAGTGCTGTTTCAAGTCCAGATCAGTGCAATGCATTGTCAGCTGATGCTGGTTATGGCCAAGTAGTCATTCAGATGCGAAAATATGATTGATATTTTCAGAAAACAACTTTATAGCAACGCTGAAAGTGACTGTGATTGACACTCTGACACAAATATCGGATACTAGTAGGCTGGAGAGCAAGCTCAACAAGCAGCACCAGGATATCAACCACCTGAAGGCAGCCATGGAGAGATGTGTCAGGCATGTAGAAGACACTGAGGGCAAGGCCAAGTTCCCTATCACACTTTTTACAGAAATGAAGAAGACACTCGCTGACATTACTGCTCACCACCCTGTTCAGGCTGTTGTCAGTCCAGCTAAAATCACCACACAGGGTGCCCGCATGTCCCGGAACCAAACTAAAGCCAGCCGAGCCCGTTTGGCCAAGCTACCGTGTATACATGATTGCACTGTATTAATAATATTCGTAGCTGCTGGATCCCCAGCAGAGCTTGTGTGCAGGAACCAGCCTGCCAAACTGAAAATCCAAGCATGTTTGGTGATACCTGCATCGAAGTTCGCTTTTCTCGGAGACTTGGGATGGTTTTGTATGTGGTGTGTTGCACACAGCAGGGAGTCGTAAAATACCGGTATTTTACGATTCCCTGGCACACAGGCACTTCCTTTGAACTTACCATAATTATTGCACCTGAAATCATTGCAGTTAGGCTGTCATCACAATGCGTCTACGTCCACGTAAAGGAGTTTTTGGTCTGTTGCCATGATGATCCATGTAGGGGTGAAAACAGGAGCAGAGGAAACGGGAAACGTAGACGTGGTAGGGAGGGGGGGGGGTATACAACTATTTTGAACTAAAACGGGTGGACGTGCGTATCTTTCCCAGTCTTCTCCCGAACCACCTTGTACATGCGTTTGAATTTTCAAATTTCTCCAAAAATGTGACTGTGTCGCTGTGTACGGGTCACGAACTGTGCCTGTGTGATGATATGACCACCCGTTTTGGATTTTTCACCATAGACGTAACGGTTAGTTGGTATGGGCTTTGCGGTTCCACGAACCCATTCTCAAGTTACTCTTATAAACGGGAGCTAAGGGTGCGTTCTTAAATCCTCTCGGAAAAGTTGGAGACTCTCCGAAAAGTTCGAGAGCTGTTCTTATATCCTCTCCGACTTTTAGGAGGCTCTCCAAAGCTCTCCAAGCTTCAGAGGTGGTTGAAACTTGGAGATTCCCGCGGTTTGGGATCAGCGCATGCGAACTACGACTAAAAGCCACGTGTTCATCATGAGTATACGCATTTTCCTTTTCGCATACGCACACGTGCATTACTAGTATTCATCACTCAAGATCGCGGCCCCTTTGGCGCTTCATTTTGCTTGACACGTGCAAAATATCTCCGAATTCTTCGAGACCCGTTCTTGAGTAATCCCAGTTTCTTCGACTTCTCTTTTCTTCTTCTTCTAGAAGCTAGAGAATATAAGAACGCACCCTAAGTCTGTCAGAGCGGGAGGGGGGGGGGGGGAGTACAATCATACCTTTATCGTGCATATACCAGCAGATTTGAGCTTCTTGATGTCAGCCACATTCTGGAAAACGATATAATTATACAGTCACGAAAAGAACACAACTGCTCAGGCTTTGGACCATGATGAGATCAGGTTGAAATCAAGGCCCAGGTCACGTGGACATTTGTACAAAACGTTCCATACAACCATACCGTACTACCAAGTTTTATTATAGAGCAGTAATAGCGTCCAAGAAGCTATACATGTGCACTCCTATTTCCAGGACAGAACTTACAATTCCATGGTTTTGCAAAATATCAATATCCTGGAAATATGACTGTGAATGAAAACAGAAAAAATATAAAGTCATGTAGCAAGTTACGATATTAGTCATGGACTGTGACCATGTATTATGAAGATGAAGGACTCGTAGGCTCGGTATACCTCTCCTTCTTCTGCTTCAATCACTTCTTGGTCACAACTTGGAAGTTCTTCCATTGCGAGATAGTACCTAACCACAATGGGCAGGAAAGGTTAGGAAATTCGTGGGCGGCCTCGACTAGTGCGGCTACTCTGAACACACGCTCAGCGCGTATTTCTCAAAATAGCAAAGAACTAAGCTCAACGAGTTACGTTCAGGCAGGTTACAGCACTTTAATGCAAACAAAAAAGACCCACAACCAGTAAGGACCTATTGGTAAAATAATTGCACAAGAACAAGACGATACACTTCACTATCTAGTGAAAATGACGGATTCAAAGTACAGAGTGCAGCAAAGCCGAAGAAGGGTCCAAAGGTCAAAGGTGCATTCATGTAGATCTACAGTCTGTCCCCGGGGAAAATTGCGGAAAAAAATCGCAAAAAACGCGGGGAAAAACGCGGCATAATATGGCATAATTTGCGGTGAATTTGCGGTAAATATGCGGTGAATAATATTGATCTGCGGCAATTTTCAGTGAGTATGTAGTGAAATCAATCAGTTACAAGTCTCTGGTGTAAGCACTCGTCATATTTGAGTAAAAAGCCGCCACGATGAGACGTTGCTGACCGAACAGTGCACTGTGTGTACGTGTAGTGCAACAAAAAAGTTCAAAAAACGCGGGAAAATCGCGGAAAACGCGGTCTTTTAAAAAATCGCAAAAAACGCGGCCGCGGAATTGCAATTTTCCCCGGGGACAGTACAGTGCATGCCGGCAACTGAAATCCGACCACCTTGGCGGATTTCAGTTGCCAGCACTGTCCATGTACATTGTATACAGTAAAAGCTGGATCGGGCTCCGCCAAAAATTACTTTTCCGAACGAAAAACGCGAAATTCGTGATGCTAAACCTCGGATACTGGACCGCCCGGGTGCAATACCGAGGTTTTAAAACTAAACGATTTAGCATCACGAGTTTCGCGTTCGTCAACGCCATGTATGCGCGAATTCTGTTTGCCGTCCTCATAACGCCAACCCTGTCACTAATTATTATTAGTTCGACTTCCCTTGAAATGCACGAACGAGAATTTCGTCTTGCTAAACCTCCGTAATAATTATCTGACGATTATGGGGATAATGCACACACAATGCGCATCCACACAAAAGAGGACAGGTTTGATAAAAGAAAAACAAAAAGTTTATTAGTTCTTCTTGGCAGCGGCCTTCTTGGCACGGTTGCGCTCTTGACGAAGTTGCTCGGCACGACGAGTAGACTTTGCGTGCGGGTTGAGACGGATCATAACCTGCACATTCTTCAGTGGGTTCTTCTTCAATGGAGCGCGGTGGCCGTTGGGACTGCAACAGCAAATAGTAAAAAACAACAGGGAGAGTCTCAGAGAAATTCCCAAACAGCATAACATGCCTTGGCCTGTAAGCACGGGTCTCTACTGTAAACCGGGAAATGTTTGCAATTTTCGTTAAGAGTATGAAATTGCAATAAAATAGGTCAGTGTGAACCTAGACCAATAGTAATTTAACAAATGACTCCAGTCGCAAATACTGCCAAGTGCAAATTGGTCTGCGCTTGAAATCGCCGCTAACACAAAGTTGAAATTGACTCCAGTCGCAAACATTACTAAGAGGGGATCGGTCTGCGCTCGAAAGCGCGAACTAACACAAAGTCCCGCTTTACAGCACTCCCATAAGTGAGTGGTGGCTATGGGAAATCATATCGCCAAGCTACTTTAGTCACCAGCTAACATACGTTATAGCTTTCTACCAACAATGTCATGCATCATCAGGGTTCCAGCCAGGTCGACAAATGAGTAGGGGAGGGGCTCAATTAGAGTAGGGGGCATGACGCCCCCTTTGACTAGAGCCCTGCATCATGAAGACGAAGCAAAACACTTGGTGGTCCAAATACGAAACCAGAGTTACCTGGAAGTAACATGGCTCAAATCTACAAAATGCCAGTAAACATAATATCACTGGCAGTTTGGTATAATTTAGCTAACACTCACCGGCGACGACGGAGCTGACGCTGGACTTCGTCGGAGTTGATAATGCGGGCCAAGTCGGTGTTGACCATCTTGGGGCGTGGCAACCTGCAACATGACCAGCATCAGAATCAGAATTAGGCTATAGCAAGAATACCCCAAAGAGCAAAGCACACAAGAGCAACAATCACGGTACATATGGCAAGGAACTTGATTATGGAAATTAGAAAGATATACACAGATCTCATCACAAAGCATAAGGGCAAGCTAACCTGAAGTTAGACTTGATGGACTGCCTCCTGGTTGTTCCATAGATGGTGTCAAGCTTCTCAAAAGCACCCTTAGACCAGATGATGAAGCGACCCAAGTGTCCACCGGGAGCAAGCTGAAGAAGGTTGAGGTGATCAACATTGGCAAGCTCAACTCCTGGCAAGTTGCGGAAAGCCTGAGTAACACCCTGGTCTTGACTGTAGACAATCAGGGGTCCGCGACGCTGAGTATGACGGCGATTGCGCATTTTACCCTTTCCAGCTCTGATTTTGCGAGAGTCCTTGCTCTTCTCTACATCAGCATATGCCTTAAGGCTTTTCAACAGGGCAACGGCAGCGGAGGTCTTAGAGATGCTCTCAATGGAGCTGTTTACAACCAAGGGAACTTCCTGGATCTCCTGGATGCGGTGACCACGGGCCATGACAAGACCAGGAAGAGCAGAAGCTGACAGAGCTGAGCAAGTGGCAAAGCGCTTCTGGTTCAGGTTGATCTTGCGGTGCCATCTCCTCCAGATCTTGGTGGGGGCGAACATGCGTCCACCACGGCACATCTGTATGTAAATCGGTCAAGGCTTAAATATTTTACAGGCACCCATACTACAATGAAGAAATTCACAGCATAGTTAAACCCAACATGCTGCAGACACAAACTTACAAACATACAAATTTTAAAATGCGAAAAACCTACAAAAAATGCACTTCTTGGTGACCAGTATTTAAAATGTGGTTGCTGCAACCGAATAGATTGCTTGGGGAGCCGTATAACCAACTAACACTTCACCTGGTAAATACACAAGCACAAATGAAATGAAAAAAGTTCAAATTTAGTAGTTGAGGATACGTTTCCGAATGCTCCCTGGCCGGAACGGTGAGTACCACCTCCAGACACACGAGGGATACGTGCAACAGCACGTCCAGTACCCCAAGACTCTGCACTGGTCTGGTGACCCGCCATCTTGCTCACTGCATAAGGTTGGCGACGGTTCTTTGCCATGTTGGTGTGGACAAAGTGGACGACATCGGGTCTGATAGGTGCCTTCAGCACAGCAGGCATAAGAGCCTGCTCGCCGGAGGTTTCACCTTGGTCATTGAAGACCTGGACGAGTGGTCTGGTGGCCTGAAACAAAGCAATACATACCTTTAGACCGGGATACCTCAGAGGAAGGAGCACAATAAAAAAAAGAAGCTCACCATTTTTGTTGATGTGAAAGAGAGAGAGAAGAAACACGAGGCAGAACGAAGACATGGGTTGCCGCGCAGGCGCATTCGCCGATTTCGCAAATTTTTTCACAAAACAATGCTTGTCACCATGGCAAAATATGGCGCTTGGAAAGACGCCTTTGCTGTTTGCGATCGCGTACGATATTTTTTTGTAAATCACTAAATGTGCATACCATGCATGATGTACGTAGATTCTACGCTGTGCATGCAGCTAGCTTTTCTTGTTGTTTTGAATTAGATTTTTTATTCTGTACCCCATCTCTACAGGCATTTTGTGTTATGACTCGGTGACTGGGAAATCGATCTGCAGTGTTCCGAACCTAGTACCTGTGTCTGGACGACATGCGTGCATGCTGATTTATTGACTGGGCGACTGTTGAAGAAACATTTAAAAAAATACGTTCTGTGACGAACAGCTAGTACGTGACCTCAAGAAATTGAGAGGAATTTTACACCAGGAATCTCTACTCGAAGTAGATTAGTCCTGTAAGTAATGTACATCAGTTACCTTGTCTGTTTTTCACATAATATGCTTAGCTCCACAGCTCTTTTCTACCAATCAGATTTAAGGAATTGCTGTCAACTCGTCTTTCACCAAGTATTCGTGTCTGGCAATGAATTGTCCATCATGGCGGATCTGAGATGGGAAAATTGGTTGCTACGACCTCCAACGAATGTAATACTCATTATCGCGTGTGAGCTGTTTCACAGGTTCATAATACATTATTCTGCTTACGAAGACAACAAGGATATCTTACAACGCAAACGCAATAAAAAAATAGCAAATTCCTTTGGATAGCTTAAGTAGAAAGTTACAAGGGACAAATCAATCGCGATAGATATCGCAGGGTGGTGCACTGCGTACACGTACCCGTTAATTTATCTCAACGTACCTGTCCTTGAACAAAAGAGTAGTGGTTCGACAGTGCTGCGTGTTTGTTCTCGTTGAAGGCATGTGCGCTGACAGAGGGTTTTCCAAGGGTATTTGTCCACATTTCCATTTCCGTGAGTAGCTTATAACTTCCGTCCAGAGTTACTTCTCTGATATCACCCGCGTGCATGCTACGGTCGGTATGCAGTTTCCACGCATGGTTGTTGCTGTGCTTCTCTTGCTGTGGCCAATATACCGTAATGTGGCGTAGAAAAACAGTGCTTAAGAGCGCATAAGCCAATGTTTAGACTATGCTTTCATTCCAAACAGACTCAAACTCACTGTGAACTATGTAGAAGTCACGCGCAAAAGCATGCTCATGACTGTGTCAATGGGGTCATACGATCTGTTTCTGCTATTCAAATCCTGCCCCTCTGAGTCACGCTTAGGAAAAGAAGTATCTTCAGGCTCCTCACAAGCAACACTTTTTGAAGTTTCCACAAGTACTTTCAATGCCTTCTCATCTGGTGGAATTCAGGCAAAAAGAAATTGAACAAAGACTATGAATTAAATACTAGTACAGCGGAGAGGTGATAAAACAGTGCAAAGAAGAGTTGCCAGAAAGAACAACAGTAAAATACGTGACCTCGTACATAAAAATGAATAACAAAAAAGTGTCAGTGTGAAGAAACTTAGCAAGTGTGCATTGTAATGCGGCAATAATAGACAAACAATGGACATAACTAACGAGTTGTTGAGGACCTACCTAACAGCCTCCAAGTGTGAATTTATCTGCTCCTGCTTGCTTAGGTTAGGCTTCTTTGTGTGAATATAAGCAGCTTCTAAGATTTCATAATTTAGCAGTTTAAAGTACATGGAAGAACAATCATCTGACAGCATGACATTGAGGATGCTGCAACAAATGATTAGCACTGGACTCATATTTTATCAGTGTAGCAGGTCACGTATTTTACTGTTGTTGTTTCTGGCTACTCTTGCGCTGTTGTATCACCTCTCTGCTATATTAGATAAATTCATTGTTCCTGTCAAATTTTCTTTTGCCTATTCCACCTGATGAGAAGGTATTGAAATTGCTTGTGGATTTTTTGGAAAATGTTGCTTGTGAGGAGCCTGTAGTTTGTTCTTTTCCTAAAAAGTAATTTTAATTTCGTCTCCACTTTTTACCTATGCAAATCAGGATTCTATACCAGACTCTGCGGTATGTGTGTTTATGTGGTTGTGTGCGCACGTGTGTGTGTGTTTGTGTTTGTGTGCTCAGGTGCATAGGCTCTTCGTCCTCTACTATTTGATAGCATCGGCATGTGCTAGGCACCCTAAAGATGCCGAAGCGACGCAGGCGCTGTGAAGATAGTGATGAAGAAAGTGACGATGATGGCAGTGGTGATGTGTCTGATGCGATAAGGTTTGTGTTGAATATTTGAATACTCGTGATGTCTGTTCCTTGCTTGATCAATCCTGCTTGCACCGTAATGTTTTTTTAGAATAATTATGTTATTGTTTGTCAAATATGTGCCCTGTCCAGAACCAACTACTAGAATTTAGTGGCCTAAGTGTACGGAGTGGTACTTGACTGTAATAGCGTCGTGCAAATCCTTGTCGTGTTGATAACCATACATTGTTGCTTGCTGTCTTTTTCTAACAGACAAAAGCTTGAGGAAGCCAAAGAGCTTCAGCGAATTAGACAGCGTCCCATAGGCGTTAGGTAAGGAGGCTTCAATGCATCTTTCTTTGCCTATTCCTTTTCTGCATGGTTCACGCTAAGTATGCATGGTCTCTGCTGTGATGACAGCTACACCATAGCTCTGTGGTCAGAGCATCGCTGGCCTCAAGCGAAGGTCCCTGGTTTGATTCCTGGTGGTGACAGTCAATTTTGCTTCAGACTTTTCCCTTTTCCATTCTCTCAACTTATGAATCTAATTCAGTTCCTTAGTTGTCACTTGCAACTAGTTTGCAGCGGCTGGTCTCTGGTCTCTGTGGTGAAACAGAGTCTCACTCTGCCTTTCTCTTGACTCTTATAGTTGTACATGAAAGGAGATAGGTACTGGTTGGTTCGATACTTGGTTTTCTTTGCTGCAGCCAACACCATTGTGGATAGGTACTGGTTGGTTCGATACTTGCAGCCAACATCATCGTGTTCTCTAGGTGTGTGTACTCTGAAAAATAAATTCACCGACATTGCTACTGATGTTTTCTTTGTCTGTAACTCTGTAGTGCTGGTCGCCTGGCGTTTGGTGAAGAGGCCAAGAAAGAAGAAGATGTTGATGTAAGGGGCTGTGCACACAATTGTGGTTGAGAAGTTGACATGCTTGCTTCTTACTTGGTCCGTTTCATCGCAATTGTCGCTTATCTATCGCAACTAAGAACAGGAGTTATTTTATAACCGCAATCAGTAATACAAGCTGGATCGACATTTGTGTACACTTTATTCATGTAATGTAAAAATGTGGAGACGAGACATTGTGCAATAAAATGATGAAAATGTGAAGAAATGGTGTAGAGAAAATGAGGATTCAAACAAGTTTTCGTACAACACTCATCAGGAATCTTCGTTGTACTAAAGGACAATGAAAACAAAATTGAACTATTATAGAAAATCTAAGTTAGAGAAATAACACTAAGAACAACAGCAGTGAAATTTACAAGTGTGAATTTTATCAATGAAAGTTATTTATAGGAGTTATTTTACCGAAGGATGTACCCAGAGTGCTGACAGTGCTCAACACCACAAAGGCAGAGCGTAATACACAACAGAACAACAAGGACAATCAAGGCTTGTTTGCTGCTACTTTAAGTAGCAGCAAACAAGCCTTGATTGTCCTTGTTCAACTTGTTGTTCTGTTGTGTAGGAGTTATTTTAGTTATTTTATCGCTCTGTAAAATTTCCAATACGCATAGTGAAGAAGCATCATACAGGATTCCTGTCCGCCACAAGAAAAATAATTCAGCGATGGAATCTGATGAAGCAAGTCGAAGAAAGGAAGCAAGGCTACAAAAAATGTACAAAAGAAAACAGCGACGGAGTGTGTTCTTGCACTCACGCTTTAGTTTATCAGACTCTGGCCCTGTATCACTGGAGCTGATGACTGTCACTTGAGCTGACATTCCCTGGTGTGTATAGCTGCTGGCATAGAGTTACTGTATCTCTTGCTTTCTCCGCTTGGGTATGGCATGGGAAAGGAACAGTCGTGGCTGTCACTTTGTCACTTGGAGGAACTGTGGGCGCTGACCCATGTGTCACCACTGTGTGTTTCAACAATGTTTTTGAATCAGGCACACATCCCTCTCCAGACAGGTGTCATACGCTCTGCTGGATACGCTGACCACGACTCTTGCACTGCCACTGCCTTGGACAATGCCTTCTTTGCCACCATCTAGCCATCAGTTTGCAGGCTTGCAAAGAATGCAAGGTCGTTGCACTTGCAAAAACGTGGGACTGAGCTGGCTGGCCTGACTGTCATGCTCTCCAGGTCAGGATGTCTTTGACTCAGCTGCTCTTGGCTTTCAGCTGCAGTGAATGTGTGCATTCACTGCAGTGCATTCACTGCAGCGAAAAGTTCCCCACTTTCCCATCACAATCGTACGAATCGCGATGCCACTGGCGCTAGTCGCGATATTTTTTTCTTTCTGGTCTCCTTTGATCTTGCCATCACAACCTCCCAAACGAATGTGAGTTAGATATCGAGATTGGACTGGGTTTTACCTGTCAAAAGGTGCGTGGGAGATAAGCGACAATTGCGATGAAACGGACCAAGTATTAATATACTGTTGTGGCATGTTTTCTGTCTGTGTAAGAAATGTTTTTTTATGGATCTTTTACTCAATCTCGGATTCTCCAGCTAACTGTTTCGAGACCTTTCGACCTGTTAGGTTTCAGGTTATGGTTATTTTACGTGTGTGTGTGTGTGTGTGTGCACACACACCTGCGTACATATGTGTATGCCGTAATTCCGCGCATATAAGCCCATGGGCTTATATGTGAAATAATGCAGTTTGGGAATAAAATATCCAGTCAAACATGTTCGTTTTTAGCCCATGGGCCAAAATTCGAATTTTGAAGGTTCACGAAAAAGTACAAGTCCGTTCTCATAGTGGGTCTATCATATTCTACTGGTAAACTACTAGGGGTGAAAGTTGGCATTGAGATCCCGAGTTCGAGTACTCTGATCTTCTCCGATCGAATATTTGAGTATTCTTGATACCATAAAAATCGCACCCCAAGGGCCTTAAAATCACATGTTGCGACCCTGATTGAATCAATCGGCAGTCATTTTCTCGAGTGTATTATTTGGTGGGTCATTTGGGCTCTCTCTCTACTTGTGTACAAATGTTCACCACACACTCTGCACATCAATGTCTGCTGACTGCTGCTCTGAAAGTGCAGACTTCTGTGGTAAATGCACGTACCATGTATGAGCGAGTACTCTGATATATTCCAAGTATGATCATATTTGAAAAATCCAAACGAGTATTCGAATATTCGGTGGGGTTTCACCCCTATGAACTACTAAACTCCACTGACCTGCTGTACCATGGTAGCAAGAGTCCATATTGTGAAAAAAATCTACTTGACAAGTGAGTCGTATGTGTGCCTGTGTATTAGCCCATGGGCTTATAAACAGAGGTGGGCTTATATCCGGATATAGGCCCGTGGGCTTATATGCGCGGAATTACGGTATGTGCATAGTGCATATTCCTTGCTGATTTGGCTGTGTCGATTTTTCTGTCATCTTTCGAATACTGTGACTACTTTTGATGTTTTGTCCCATTTTAGGCTGACCCATTCAAGCTGAAAACTGGAGGTCTGCTGGACAAGGCAGCTGCGTATGTTGCATTCGGCTACTACTTGAGCTGTGTATGGTAGCACCAAGAGTATAACCCCCCAAGAGTGTGCAACTCCTGATACCCTTTCTATGGGGTACGCCGACGGCGAAAACTCACATCACGTGGTGCAGTGTCGCAGTTGTTCGTTTCCAGCCCGCTTTTAGCGAGCAGCGGAGTAATAAAAAAGCACTCTCTGACAGAAACACACTGCGGGTATGCAAATCCCCAGCATGATCATGGCAGATATTCGGATTGCGCGCACGCTATCCTTCGTTTGTACGTAGTACGAACCTATCTGAGACACGTGATGTGAGTTTTCGCCGTCGGAGACCCCATATGCAGAGTAACTGAGTTGCACACTCTTGGGGGGGGGGGGGGGGTATATACTCATGGTAGCACTATAAATAGTATTTAAATGTTTCTGTTTTACAATCTTGCAATGTAGTTGTGTAGCACCTGTGTTACTCCAGGGAATGCTCTGTGCATGTTTGGAGTACAGTCAACTTCGCTAATAATGACTGCGCATATAACGACAATTCGCGAATAACGACAGAATTTCCATGCCCAGAGCAAAGTCCCATCTAACTGTAACACGTATAATGAGACTTCGGGTATAACGACACTTCGCGAATAAGGACACTTTTCTGATGGCCCGCCGAGTGTCGTTATACGCAAAGTTGACTGTACTACCTGAATCACACGTCTGTTGACAGTTGCATCTTGTCAGTTGTTCATCATCATGAGTGGATGTCATCTACTGCTGGTTTTTGTTTGTTTATTTATATGGTGACACTACCCACGTGAAGGTGGTTGAGTTCCTATGGATGCGGGAAAGTTAGTCTGGATGCAGCAGTATGCTCTCTGGTGTCAAATTCAATGCCAACGCTCATGTCATTGCCGCAAGATGACCCCAAAAAGTTAAATGTACCTTGCTGGAAATTCGCTGTGTGCACTTATCCATGTGCAATTGTAATTGTGCCTGTTTAGGGAAAAAGCCAAGGCTGATCAGGATTCGGTGCGCCTGGACAACACGTTTGCAGCGGAAACTAACATCCGTGACGATGATGCTGCCATGTAAGTACGGAACTGGGGGCTACGCGAATTGCGAATGCGGATCCGCATTTCGCTGGCATTTCTTTGGTATAACACTTTTTCACTGATTGTGTTATTGCCAAATATGTGGACATGTGTTAGGAATATTTAGAAAGGCTATCCTGTCAGCTTTTCCATTTTTTTATTGATCTGCGTTGTTATGTGTTGTTTGTAGGATGAAGTACATTGACGAGGAAATGAAGGCGAAACGCGAAAGTGAGGATGGGAAGTCTAAAGAGCTCACGTAAGAATTAGTTTGTCTTTGCTTCACCATTACATCACTTGCATTGTAATGCTAGTCAGAGTGCCTTTTAATACTGGAACTGGATATGTTGTGCTCTTTTGGAGTGTAGGTCTGGTGTAGTATCACACTGCTACATATATCTGCTGCCAGTGCAGACTGCAGAGTCTCAATTTCACTGATTTGACATATACCAGTACTACAGTTCACTCATTGGAAAGTGGCACTCTAACTTTTAGTGTCTCACACGTATAGTTGTAGATATCATGAAAACAACAGCACAGTCATGTACATCCCTGCATTGCGTGACCCGTGCATTTATTCCTTGCCACATTTAAGGCCAGAAAGTCCAAGGACTGGGAATTATAATTTCAACCAGGTTTTACAGTGAATTTTTGAGCCTCAATTTGGCCAAAATCAAGCTTTCAAAAGCCAGCGGGAATAGTTTGGATAACGGACTGTGGGTAGTTGCAGTGGTGCTTGTGCTGGTGCTGGTGGTGGTTGTAATAGCTTCTCATTGTGATGTTCTTTTTGTTTTGATACATCCCCACATAGAGAGTACGAGAAGCGTGAAAAAGAGCTTTTCACCATTCCAGAGCACCTGAATGTGAGTGGAAGCTGAGCCTACTGCTCAACTGTACAGTACTTGTAGCGTTATTTTGTTTGTCGTGTTACCAATGTTATACAGGCTGCCTGTTCTTTGAAACCTGTTTTGATGCACTGTGTGCTTCAGTGGACTCTGTCCGGAGTTGTGCCGTATTTCTTACTTTGAAGTATCTGCTTCTTGCTATGACATGCTGGGATGCTATGCTGATCGGTGTTGTTTCTACTGGCTACTGGTGTACAGGTTGTATCACAGAAAAAGGTCAGCGAAGAAATGCTGTCCAGTCAAATGTTGTCCGGAATACCGGAGGTGGATCTCGGTGTTGAGTAAGTTTCATCTCGTAACGCTATTTCATCTCCAAACCAATTGTTTTTGATGTTGTTTTCCGATCAGTATTGTTGTACATGTACTGCACATCTTGCCCACCTTGTCCATCAAGTTTTGCCACTGTTAACTTGTGTGTTGTGCGCTCAACTTTGCATGTTAAGCACTCTTGCAAGACGAGGGCACCTTAGCGTTGTGCTGTCTGCTTCTGCCATTGGTAGTTGAGCACACTGCCGCCATTATCTTTCATGCCATGGTAGCTTTGTGCGTCATTGCGCAGGATATTAGAATTTGAAATGTATTCACATTACTACACTGTATTGATGTAGTATGAATGGGTATGACCAATGGTGATATCATCGTTTCGTTTCCTTTTCTGTACTCAGTGAGAAGCTGCGTAACATTGAAGCAACAGAGGAGGCACGTCAAACTAAGCTTGCTCAATCCAAACTCAAGTAAGTGATGACATCATTTGTGAAAACTTGAAACTTCTCGGCACAACTGTTGCCTATGCTCAGGATAAGCATCATAGTTAGCTTTGTTTTGTGCAAGCTGCGCAAGACGTACTTTCCAGTGCGAATTTATTCAACCTTGTATAAGCCTACTCCTCCCTCTACCTGGACTGGTTGGCAGGCTGAGGGAAAATAGTCTCTGACTGTTGACCTTACCAATACCAGTAGATGCCAGTGGTCAATTTGAAGTAGAATTAGCAAGTTTAACGTGGGGTGTATTGGTGTGTATTGTTTGTCTGTTGGCAGTATGCTTCTTATGCCTGTTCTTTCTTCTTCTGTTCAGGAAGCATGTCACGTCAGATCTTGTCCCCAAGAATGTTGCTGCTAACTTCAGCCATCGTTGTAAGTGCACTTTGTTGTATTAGTACCGAGCCTTTTGCCAATGCATGTACTTCCTCCGTATACAAAAACTTCGTGACTTTTTTTCAACGGTGTTTCTGAGCAAGAACCTGCTCAACGAACCGCGCCAAAGGCTGTCATCGACAACGCACATTCATGTTGAGGTAGGTTTGGTTGATCTCGAACAGATTCTCCACGGAAGCCATGCGTGTGAGGACGTTGCCGACAGGAACTCACGAGTCAAATAACAGAAAAACTAACACTTTTTAATACTTGCTCGAAACTGACACCGTGACGAAGTGGAGCTCGCGCCTGGAGCACGGAGTCACGACTCACGCGGCACTCGCTGCCCTGAAACTGGCCAGGCTCGTACTTGCGGTGCGCGGCCCCATACGCAGCGTGAGAACATAAATCGGTTCCGCTCGCACGGAAAGATGAAACATTTCAGTCGTCGTGCAACCAGCGCAGACTCCGGATCGGAATGTCGACGACCTGGCTTTCTTCGCCTCTCTCCACTCCAGTCAGACGTCTCCGTTGTGGCCTAGGAGGGGAATCGCAGGGACCTCGTCGAAGCCGTTGTAGAATGCTGGGAGGATTCTCCTGCCGAGAAAATGCGAAGCGTGTGGATGTGCTTGGGCGACTCGTTTCACGGCATAATGGAGGTCGCGGGTTGGAACGACTGAATATAGTCGACACCGATTCGTACACAGCTCTGGAAATGAAGAGTACGCTAGCCAAAGTCCCGCGTCGGATCATCATTGCAGCTGAAAAGAATCTGAATGAAATGCGAGCGAAGCAGTGACTTTTGGCGATGCGGAGTCAGCGTCGTCAGGTGACAATGACAGGAGCGACGAAGACTCTGAATAAACTCAATCTCATTCGTCTGAGTTGTTTTTTTCTTTGTATATAGCTTGTAAACAGGTTAGACAATGCCACGAGTGTTATTCCAAGTCAAACGGAACAATTCCAGAGCTATGCGCAGCCTTCAAAAAAAAGTCACGAAGTTTTTGTATACGGAGGAAGTACATGAAGTACATAAGTACATGTTTTGATTTTGTGGCGCATTTTGATTTTTGCTGGACATGCCTGGTGCATGATAGCAGCTATCGGTGGTGTTGCAGTTGTTAAAAGTAGGGCTCAAACGGTTGGTCCGATTAACCGGTTGCAGACCGGTTACGAAGAATTAACGGTTAACCGATAAAGATAACGGTTACGCAGTAACTTTTCAGTCAATTTTTTAGTATCAGGTCGTTGCAAAGTATGCACTTTCGCAGGCTGTCGCACGCGTACACAATTTCTGGGCTGTCACCTCGGTCATATCTGGTCTCTTGGTGTGAGAGTATGTATGAATGAGCATGCAAGAGAATGTACATGTGTGCGTTGTACTGAATAGGGTACATTGTTTTGAATGAGTATAGTCAAATATACGGTTAAAAAAGAGTCCGCAGGATTGCCGAGGCTTATAGGTTATAACCGTTAAACCGACCGTTAGCTTAGCAGTTAACCGTTAGGGGTAAAACCGTGACCGTTTGAGCCCTAGTTAAAAGGTACGCGACGAAGATATAAATATGTGTGGCGTGTGTAAGGGTGTGTAGTAGTGTTGAAACGAATAATCGAATAATCGAATAATTTAGAATATTCGTGGGGTGAACGAATAATCGAATAGTCGTAGGAATTATCAGAAATCGAAAAAAAAAAAAAAAAAAAAAAAAAAAAAAAAACGATCTATGCTCAGTGCTGACCCTACTGATATTTGCACTGCGTAGATCTGCTCGTAGTATTTCTTCTCAATCACTTCTCCTCCAAGGTTTAATCTCCTATCGGTATCTAGTAATACATGTACATGCACATGTACTTCTGTTCTTTCCATACGAGGGAAACATGGATGCAGTGAATGTGATTTTCGGTCTTTGACCACTTTCGACCAAGACCCTATGCAGAGCTGGATCAAGCGTTGCACACTCTGGGGGGTTATGTACTCTTGGCGGTACAGGTTAACCAGTTTTGCACCCCCACATAACAAAATCCGATAATCAGCAAAAAAAATATTTAAAAAACTACTTAAAAAGTGCTGAAAAAGTGTTGAAAAATGCCATCATGCGTATGATAGAATATAGATTATTCGTTCGATGGAGGGCGAAATTATTCGATAGATTATTCGTTCGAAGAATCCGTGTTCGGTTTAAACACTAGTGTGTAGTGTGTGATGTGTGTGTGTGTGTGTGTGCGCGCGCGCGCGCTACTGCTGGTTCAACATGCTGTTGTTTACGTTTTTTCTTCTCTGTGTGCTTTTTTCAGATTTCAGTGGCGATAACTCCGAAGCACGGAAACGCCGTGAGGAGGCCAAGGCCAAAGCCAACAAGCCTGCACCCAAGGTGGTCCCACTCGTTGGTGGTCCAATGGCCGAACCCCGTGCTGATATTGCCAGTGCACACGCATTGAAGATCATCGACGATCGCAAGTACGAGGAGCAGAAGCAGTCGGGCACGAAGAACATGCGGTCACAGGCATCCGACAACTACCACTACGATAAATTTGTCAAGAGGACTCGTTTCAGGTAGCAGTATCCAAGTAGTAGTATATTTATTGTGCTACTTGTATTACTACTCTTTCCCCTCTCGTCCATGAAACAATCTATCCTAAAATATACCATTGAGAACGATACCACCTCTGTAATAATTTTTCCTGCATGAAAGTACCATGTAATTATAATGCTTTTCGCATTACAGCATGATGTCACCTGCTTATAAATCCAATTGAGTCTGTACCCCCTCCCCATACTTCCAGGTTTTGTGCCCTGGCGCTGCATACTCATGATATAGCAGTCACTGATTGATTCACTGTGCTGACAGACCACTGCTGTGCTGGTGGTACACTGTGCATGTATTGCTGTGTGCCATGTGCTACGTCAGTAGATGTGCGTGTGCATGTGCATGATTTGGTGTGGGTGTGTGGGTGGGTGTGGGCACAATACAGCACACAGTAGACAGTAGTACTCAGTGTGACATGACAATACTCACTGTGACATGACAGTACATGTACTCAGTCCCAGTGTGACATGACAATGTCATTTGCCTGTAATTCATGCCCTCCACTCCAGCCAATCACAGCAAACATCCTGGAGACTTGAAATAATGAATAAATTGTGCCAGTTTCGTAGAGGAAACCTGTTCTGCTCTACATTCACGTAAAGAAATCACATGGAATGTGTACTGGGAATTTTCCGTTCCATCTGGCAGCTTTATGTCTGATTCGAATGATACGTAGCAGATCCGTACGCATATTCTTTGTGTGTGCCACAACGTAGGGAACCTCATCTCCGCGTAGAAATCTGGACCCAGAACACTCGAAGCCGTAGACTCTAACATGGTTCTAGCCGGTACGGGGCTCTCCCCAGACAAGTGTTCCCTTATAAAGCCTCTGTTAGTGACTAATACTATTTGTGCACACGCCAGACAGTTTCTTGGGATCGGGAGAGCTTGATTTGACTGAATTTGACTGACACTGCACAAGAGGTAAAATTATTGTTCTTGCTGTGAACTGAAAGAAGACGACGACTAAAGCGCAAGGCGCTTGCGCAGAGCAAAAAAGGAGGAAAAAACATGGAGGAAGTCGCCAAGAGGTGAGTGAGTCAGTAGAAATAATAAACACGCGGCCCAGCTTCGGTGTGGGAACGCGGAAACAAAACCGGGGTAGAGAACACAAACTATGACGTGTACTGCAAATAATCTCATGACGTTGAACATCATGTCAACGTCGTGACACTCCCCCGCAAGAGATGCAGAGAAAAGGAGATAATTCGTAACAAAGTAACGTGGAAACAAAACACAATAAGTGCATATAACATACGCAAGGGTGAAAGAGAGTAGACCGTCACACAGAGAGAGAGAGAGAGAGAGAGAGAGAGAGAGAGAGAGAGAGAGAGAGAGAGAGAGAGAGTTCAGATGTGAACTACCAACTGTCTAGCTGATTCAACTAAACAAGTTCGCTGCCAATTAATTGGCGAAGCGTCTGACGTTGCTTCTTAGCGGCAGCACGTTGTGGACGACTGGGTGGAGCAACAGCTGCTGGAACTGGCAGATCGGCTTGGCCAGTGGTGGGTGTGTCCGGAGCGGTGCTGTTGTTATTAGCCTCGGAGTTAGCAGCAGGACAGATAGGGTACAGGAGAGACAGGGGTCGTTTGAGCTCTGTCTTCTCTGCAGTGATGACGGTTGCGGAACGTATCTCCATGTCCTTGCTTGTATGGAGAGCGACAATGCGACCAAGTCGCCATGAGCCACGGGGCATGTCATCCCTTATTAGTACAACATCGTCAACGGCTGGCTGTTCTGAAGCGGTAACGCGTGCCTGTCGGAGCTTCCGAGTGTGACTGTTGCGGAGATCAGCCAAGTAGTCGTCTCGCCAGACACGCCAGAACTGGTCCAATGTTCGTTGACCCTTCTTCCAGACAGAGAGAAGATTCTGAGCTGCAGTCGGAACTTCGATGTGGTCCGGATCGCCGTCATCAGCAGTGGGTTGCACGCCACCAGTAGTTGCGGACAGGCACAGAAAATGACTTGGGGTGAGTATCTCCTGCAAGTCATTGTCCACGTACACCAGTGGACGCGAGTTGACGACTGCTGACACTTCCATGAGAATGGTAGTCAGTTGCGACACAGTGAGGAGCGCGCGGCCAACGACCTTCTTCAGGCTTCGTTTGACTGTTCCAACGAGACGCTCGTAGAAACCACCCATCCAAGGTGAGATCGGTGGGTTATAGTGCCACTTCACACCAGTCCTCGACATGTACGACAGGACATCATCACTCGTTGCCATTTCTTCAAAGGCCACATCCAGAACAGACTTAGCTAGGATGAATTGTGGCGCGTTGTCAGACACTACCTCTTCAGGGCAACCACGCAACGACACGAACCTGCGGAACGCTAGCAGGAATTCCTCTGTGGTCATGTCTGCCACCAGTTCTAGATGGACAGCTCTAGTTGCCATACATGTCACTAGGAGGACCCATACCTTCTTGGTACTTGGCTGGTGCTTGACGAGCAGAGGACCGAAGTAATCTAGTCCCACATGGGTGAACGGGATAGATCTTGTTGCGCGGGCAGATGGAAGCGGGGCCATATCTGGGGTGCGGTATGGACCACCGTGGTGCTTCCGGCAAGTCAGGCACTTAGTGATGAATGACTTCACTGTTGCACGCCCTCGTGGTAACCAGTACTCGTAACGCAGTCTTGATAGCGTGTGTGCAACGCCGCCATGCATCGTCATCAGGTGACAATCGTTGATGATGAGCTGGGTGATGGGATGCGTTTGGGGAATCAGTACTGGATACTTTGCTTGATAGCAAAGTTCGGCGTTCTCCAAGCGTCCTCTGCATCTGATGAGGCGGTTCTCATCGAGGAAGAGCCGCAGCTTGTCCTTCGGGCTGTGCTTCTTACAATTTTCGACAGCACTGACGTCTGACAGATTCTGTTGTGCATGGTGTAGCCACATGATTTTGGCTACCTTGACCTCTGAGTTACAACTAGAATCCACCCCGAAGGACTTGCCGCCTTGTGGTCTCAACCTGGAGAGAAACCGCAAACACAGAGCAGAAACACGCACTAAGGCACTGAAAGACGAAAACCTGGCACAATCAATACCAAATGGTGGTTCATCACATGTTTTTTTTTGTTCGTGATGCGCATCAGGCTTTTTTTTCATTTCGTGTGCAAGCTCAGTGTCTGGACCGGTGGACTCTGTTGGGTGTGATACAGGTGCAGGTATCTCCGAAGTGCTTGAAGGACCCTCCCCAGCGGCAACGTTGACATGGTGATCAAGTGCTGGCTCGGCGTGATGGTCAGCAGTGGCAAGGAAGTGTGGACCGTGCCACCATAGCGAGCTGGCTTGAAGGGAAGGAACAGAGACACCGCGTGAAGGCAAGTCGGCGGGATTGTCGGCAGAGCGGACATAGCGATAGGCAACATCGGGAACCGCACGAATGGCATCAATACGGTTGTTGACGAAGACAGGTAGTTTGTCAGAAGAGGCCAGCCAATGGAGAACTGTGGTGGAGTCTGACCATAGAAAGGCAGTAGGTTTGAGTACTGAATGGTGTGGAAGGTAGTGAATCTGGTTGGTTGTAAAACCACGAGGAACATCTTCTATCATGCCCCTGTCAAGCTGGTCTTGAATCACGGTATCGTACTGGTCAAGAAGTTCCGGATGGGCTTCGAGGCGACGCACTTGTGCCTTCAGGCGACCGAAAGCCAGACCGTAGTTTGTCGGAAGAGGAGGATGTGAGTCCCTCCAGGGCCAACTCACCGCGTACCGACCCTCGGCAAAGGAGATGGAGTTGGCGAAGCGCTCGCCCACAAGATCTTGCGACGACGTATCGTCAAAAGTACCCAAGCTCTCTGTCGACCAGAACTTACGGAGGTCGAATTCAGGGTCCGCGTCTGTTTGATGAGCAAGACATGACTGCGCCTCTGTGGTGGCAGGCACAGGCAGACTGCCGGTACAGATAAACCCAAGAACGGAGTCGAGCAGGACCAGACCACCGCTTAGTTCGGTGCGGTCCTTGCCGATAATATCATAGTAGTGATCGAGACCAATCAAGACGTCTACGACCATGGGCTCTGCGCTGCTCGAGAGCGGTTCTGCAAGTGGCAGAGACTGTAGAAGAGGAAAAGAAGAAGCAAGTGGACATCGCGCAATTGGAGCGGTTATGTTCGGAAGTACACTGGCCTGAATCGCACGAGTGGACCCATCCTTACACTGCATGGTCAAACTCACCTTGGCGTACACGGTACTTTTTCTTTTGTTGTTCCCAAATGTAGCCAAGGAGAGTGTTTCATTTCCGATTGTGGGCAAATCGAGCTGATCTCGATAAGCTTGCGTGATGTATGTCTTGGTGGAGCCGGTATCAAAGAGAATACGGCCATTGATCGGCTTCAGCTTGGAGGAGAGAAACGGTGCCACAGCAGTTTGCATCATGATCTGGTGATCGGCGTTTGCGACCGTGCTCGTGGCAGGCTTGGGTTTGAAGGACTGAGCATTCGGGCTCATAGTGGAAGCTTGCCTCTGAGTGGATGCGGCAGTGAATTTATCTGGACACAAGCTGCTGTGGTGTGCAGGATTGTGGCAATAGAAACACCGCCGTTTGCTAGAGCAATCGTGCACGGAGTGGCCTGATCGCAAACACTTGAAACACCTTTGTTTAGCTACGCTCTTCCTCGCTTCTACTGTAGTGTACTTATTGCATTCGTCAGAGAAATGTGCCTCCGAACTGCAAAAAACACACACTCTCTTGGGCTTCGCTTTTGAAGTAGCTGAAGCTGAGGCAACAAGAGATTGACCGGACGCAAGTCCGAAACGGTCCAGGATTGTGGCCCCTTTTTTAATTCCAAAGCCGCTAGCGTGGTGCGTGGCAATTTGTTCGTAATCATTGACACAAACACCGCCTGATTAACATTCTCACCAAGCGCTGTGAGGCTTCGCAAGTGCACCTCCAACGCATCGTGCAACCTACGCAAAGATGGAGTAGCGTTGGACGCAGGCGGTAAGTCCATGATTGCCGTGTAGTGTGCATTGACGCGAAGCTGATCATTCCCGAAACGTTTGCGGAGAATGTCAAGCGCGGTTGTGTAGTTGGTATCTGATATGGGCAAGCCAGCTATGGCATCCCGAGCCAAACCCGTTACGTGATCTCTTAGGTACGACAGTTTCTGGACACCCGACAACCCTTGATTCGCATCAATAGACGCAACAAACATATCGTGAAACTCAGCCCATTTCAGGAAATCACCAGAAAATGTTGGTATTTCAAATTTGGGCAAATTGACTGAACTTGTGGGAGCTGGTTGTGGTTGAGGTGATGATGCTTGCATGTGTTGTACGACTAGTTGGTGTTGTTTGATTAGATCCTCTTGCGACTGTAATACTTGCTGGTGTTGACTATGTGTAATAGACTGCGTACGAACAAGATCTCCTATTGACTGTTGGATGCTGGACAAATCAACCATACTAGTTTCTTGTTTGATACCCGCACTGCCCGTACTCTTGGTGCTACTTGGTGAGCTAGTACTAGTAGTAGCAGCTTCTGGACGGTTCGTCTGGGCTCTGTACTGCGGAGATCGCTTGCATTCAACAATTGACCCTCTGATGCGTACCGAATACGCAACCACATCGCAGATCTCCGTTTGCAGAGCCTCATCTGAACCCTCCAGAGTCTCCGAGTCCAAAACACTGGCCAATGCATCACACGCCTCATCATATGCGTACAATTCTTCAACAATACAATCCACAAGTGTACTTAGCTTTTTTGGATCCGAGTCCACGTGTTCTGGCGACAACTCGTCGGCCCTTTGACCTCCTTCCTTCGATAAAAGGAGTTCGGCCTCTTTGACGAGTTCGTCGATGGATCCTTGCAGCTGCGCGATCTTGGCCCGGCGCATGATCTGCGTGCCGGTCGTCACTGCTCTCTTCGGCATGTTAGCTCGACGACCCAAATCGGGCAAGCTGCTTACAAATTATTTGAGTCGAGTCTATCTTTCTCAAGATTGGAATGGTATCCCGGGTTTCGGCACCACTTTGTGCACACGCCAGACAGTTTCTTGGGATCGGGAGAGCTTGATTTGACTGAATTTGACTGACACTGCACAAGAGGTAAAATTATTGTTCTTGCTGTGAACTGAAAGAAGACGACGACTAAAGCGCAAGGCGCTTGCGCAGAGCAAAAAAGGAGGAAAAAACATGGAGGAAGTCGCCAAGAGGTGAGTGAGTCAGTAGAAATAATAAACACGCGGCCCAGCTTCGGTGTGGGAACGCGGAAACAAAACCGGGGTAGAGAACACAAACTATGACGTGTACTGCAAATAATCTCATGACGTTGAACATCATGTCAACGTCGTGACACTATTGACTGCATTTTTCATGGAAAAAAAAACAAAAATTGACAAATGAGTAGGGGAGGGGTGCCCCCCCCCCCCTTTAGCTAGAACCCTGCTCTAACCCAGACACCTGTTCTCTACGTGATTTCTCTACATTTCACGTAAAGCAGAACCTCACTATTATTGCACCATGCAGGCAGGCACGCTCATGTGGTAAGCAGCAGAATGTCTGCTCTCCGCACATTTTACAATCTGTCCCTCCAGAAACTTGCGGAGACATTTCGGAAATATCGCGGAAAAAGTTGCGAGGTAAAATGCCACAAATTGCGGGGAATATTGCGGATTTTGTCAAATATTGCGGGATTATTGTGGTAAAATTGCGGAAATTGCGGCCGATTTTGGTACTTGTACTGTAGTGGTGTACGATGTACGAGTTGTACAGCATAAATCATGCATGACAAAACAGAACGTGTGCTGCGCTGACTGTGTTCGACTGCCTGACAGGAGCTTGCAAGACAGCTTTCCTCCATCCTCGGACAACACTCGACGCGAGCCTTATTTTGTGACTTGTCAGCCGCTGATTTGCCCAGAAATTTCTCCATTCTGGTGTCGATCTCACAAGTAAACTATTGACGAGCTTGAAGAACTAATATAAACAACATCGAAGAAAGACCCGAATATCGCGGTTGCTTTTCGAAATATCGCGGTGCTTTTCAAGTATCAAGGACAGTTTTCTACAATAACGCGGATGATTTTTCAAATATCGCGGATATCACGGACTTTTGTTCAAATCGCGGAAAACAACGCGGCCGCGGAATCGCAAGTTCCTGGAGGGACAGTACAATTAACGTACGGCCATACCACATAATATAATAATTATGGGTATGCGAGCCAAGCCACTTGAGCTCTTCTCCTGCAGGTTGCACTATTGTCTTGCTCAGGGGATTCACAGAGTTACACCCCGTTGTATGGTCATACAATGCACGTGTAGTGTGCTAGGCTATGCTCGATAATCACATCCCGGGGATAATGTGTGCTATTTAAGTTTTTTTTTAGTAACCCAAAACGGACAAGCATTCCGTTGCAGGGACTTTCACAACAGGCGCTCTGATTATCAGACCAGCTCAAGAAGTGTTCCCTTTCCAGGCTGTGTGTTCCAGTTGCAATGTGACTCTTTTTTTAACAGTTACTACAAGTACTTGAAGTAGTAGTCAATGTACACACAGTCACACACAGTCATACCAAGAGTACATAACCCCCCAGAGTGTGCAACGCCGATCCAGCTCTGCATAGGGTCTTGGTCGAGCGGAATCGGATCTTCTGATGTCATGCGTACACTCCACACCAGCGCAAGGCCGGTCTCGAGGCAGGGTACCATTGTTTTTGATCCAAGAGTACCCGCGACTCCCCGGGTTCCCCTCAGATGTGTACGGTATTATGACGCAAAGATCCGATTCCGCTCGACCAAGACCCTATGCAGAGCTGGATCAGGCGTTGCACACTCTGGGGGGTTATGTACTCTTGGTCATACATGTATACTAGTGAAAGTAGTAGTCAATGTACACACAGTCACACACAGTCACACACAGTCATACATGATGTATACCAGTGAAAGGCGCGGTAGGTGTAATGTATTGTCATGTAATTGTCTGTTGATCAAACGCAGGTTGTCTACTTGCAAATGTCCAGATATCCAGAACGCTCAGAATCGGCAGCAGCAGCTGAGAATGCATCAAGACTTGGACAATGCCTCGTTGATTCCTGTGTAAGCGGTACAAGAAACTTATGGTGAGAAACGAAGTGGCAATTCCATAATTGTGTTTGCTATACGCGCTGAGATGTAGGGATATGACTCGAATATGATCGTGTAATATCAGTCGTAGACATTTTTTATACTATGTGCACATCCCTACAAAGTAATGGGGGTAATGAAAGAGACAAAGACAAATACAAAGACAACAAAAGGAGTAGTAAGTGCTACACGAGCTGTGCTGGTCAGGCGCAGTGCACTTCTCCGACCATTCCGGTCTGGGAATCAACATGGACTGTGCGGGCCACATGTCACGTACAAACATATGCTATCCCAGACAGCAGGCAGCAGCAGTAGCAGCAGCATGCAACAACCTCAGCAGACCGAGGACTGTTATTACACTGTGTGTTTAGACAATACATACACAGCCTTACAGGATGTTGGCGACAGCCTGTAGCCGCTGTTAGCTACAGACTGCTTTCCTTTTCTGTTGGTGCGAATCGCTCCTCTAACATTTGAGTTTTATAATCGGCCACACATGACTCAATGGCTTGGGCATCGATCCGTTTTCTACTGAAATACCAGACAGGGGTGCGATCGTCTAGGATGACAACTGCGGGTCGGTTACTTGGAAGCTGCAGCACAATGGAAGAGAGACGAACAAAATTTGGATAAGTTACACAGCTCAGGTGAGAGACACACTGCCGGACGGTCCGACCTTTCCACACCCACTATAGGAACACCACCACCCACAAGGTTCAAGGCACCTGGTGCAGCTCCCAAAGTGGAGAAGGAAAATGATAAATGTGCAATTTAGAACAGCAGATAGTCGTGACTGTTACAAGTCCCGGTAGCCGCAGCGCTGGGTTCACAGCCCAGCCCGGTGTTGACGGTGCTGGGGGCCGCACCAGTTCCCCAACCTCTGATACATAGTACACATTCGGCCATTGGAATCCAGCATAGCTAGTGACATCGGCTTGGCTGGACTTCCATGATTTGCCAGCATTGCAGTACCGCATTCCCTGAAATTAGTGCCACAGTAAAAGTAATACTGAAGTAGTTGCCCTGCAGGTGCCGGGAGAGATGGTCGACTCGAAATTGAACATTCCACCCCCACCGCATGGATTTTTGACACACATGCACCCTGACTGATATGAATGGACCGTATGATGATCAACATGTCAACTACAATCATGCACTGTGCAATACATGCATTGTACATCGCTCAGAAGGAGAAAGCACTTCAAATACGAAGTACTAGTTTTCGTGATGACAGCTAACATGGCGTTCCCAAAATGAGCAGCTGTCTGTTTTTTTAGAGGCCCCACGCTTTGATAATAGATTGAGTCCTAAATTACCATTTTATTAGCACACTCTACATCGTTATGAAAGAAGAAGAAGAAGACCCTGGCCTGTGAGGATTTGAACATGAAAATAAACAGTTGGTCTGTTTCACAGGAGGGCAAGCAAAGTCTCTTCTAGAATACAATACAATCACACACTTGAGAGGGACGAAAAGCGTTTCTTCTTTAACTCTGAGTTTCACGGTTTTAACCGATCATCAGACAGCAACAGCAACAGTTGCTGTCTGATGATCGGTTAAAACCGTGAAACTCAGAGTTACAGAAGAAACGCTTTTCGTCCCTCTCAAGTGTGTGTACTAGGCTCTGCACCTTGGTGTATTGAGCACTCTCACGAGCAACCACAACTCCCTCCGAGTTTACAATACAACCATGTATCATCATGTCAATGCAGCTCAATGAAACACAGCGGTCCACTTACAGCCAAAGTCTTTAAAACGTCATCGGCTTTCCCGATGGATGATGAGATGAAGAAGTGGATTAGCTGCGGCTCATTGAAAGCTTCCGCCTTGTCTCGTTCCGCCACTGCCAGTTGCTCCAAGTTTAGTTTCGCCTGGTCCATTTGCTCTGAGCTCCCATCTGCAAGGTAAACACATATGCAATGCCCACGCCCACTCGTACACATAATATGTGGGCAAAAACACTACTGAGGGCGCAGCACTACATTACATGTGTAGGGAGGTTTCGCTCTACGTATTAAATTAAAGGAGAAGTGTACCCGGGGTGCTGAGTGGAATGGTCTTGGTCCGAGGAAGCTGAGACGCTCGGAACACACCCAGTGCTGAAAAAACGATCACATACAAGATGAGCTGTGTACGGATGTCCTTGGCACTCACACCACACTATACAGCAACTTGAAAGTCACAAGAAACGACAGCCACTAGTTTAGTATCAGACTGTTCAGCATCGCACCAATCAGAAGGGGTTTTATTGGCCAGGGACAGTTGCTGGCGTTCAACTTTGTTCTTCCTTCTCCACCTCATACCGACATGATTGTATAACTGTATTCCATGCCCCAATTAACCAGCGATTATGCCTCTGAACCACAACAAATGCAACCAATCCCCCCCCCCCCCTCACTCAACAATGTCAAACATGCATGGCAACAGTATTTGACTGGATCAACACACCATTCAGGGGATGAAGCTGCAGTCACCATGCAACACACTGTGGGCAAGTCAGCACAGCGCAGGAAGCTGTATTCAGCAGCTCTCTAAACAGGCATGTTACAGGCTCCATCACGGTGTTTCCTGTGTACTTTATGATGCGGAATATACAGCCGGGTATTTACCAAGCAGCATTGAAACTTACCAGTCATATATATCAGGCAATTTTCCCTATTCAAATACCTCGCAAACTTCTCATGGAGAATGTTCAGAGGCTCATATTTCCATGGGAAATCCTAGACAGAACAGAAAAGCAAAGGAATCCCTCTACAGCAACAGTATCAGCACCATCAATGGCAAGGTTACCGTCACAACCTACTGTTCAGACTGGTATTCGATGATGAAATGGCACGGGATCTGGCCATCCCGTCATAGCACCCTACTCGAAATCCCCAGCAGTGTGCGGCGGCCGCAGGCAGCAGGGCGCATTTCTCAGGCCTTTCCCTGACATCACCGTGAATACGGAGATGGCATCTACTCCGGAAAACAATGTCCACTTTCATGATTGTAACCCAGTGCATACACTGCATGGTGCAGGTACCGAGTCATACATGCAACCCTACACCACTTCAACAGTCAACTGATGTCGTGTGGTGAGGTGGTATGGCATAAACATGACGACATCAAGTTTATGTCATACATACCGATAGTCATTGTGTGCATGAGTCAGGACCTGCACTACGCATGTATGACTGGGGGGGGGGGGGGCACCCATCCATCGGGGATATGCGTGAGGGAAACAGAGAAACATGATTGAAAGACGAACAGCTAAGACAGCTAAAACAGCTAAGATTGCTAAGAGACAGGAAGTGTGAGTTACGAAGAAGAAAATGTTGAACGGTCTCTGCTGGGATGACGGCTACAGTCATAGCTCAGTGGTTAGACTTAGAGCATCGCTGGCCTTTTCTAGTGAAGGTCCCTGGTTCGAATCCTGGTGGTGACAGTCAATTTCTTCTTCAGACTTTTCCCGTTTGTATCTTTCCCTCAAACCAGTGAATAGCTAAGACAGCTAAGATAGCCTAAGAGAGCTAAAAGAGATATGATAGCTAAGACAGCTATAGGCCCGGTCACACATGCACTCAAAAGTAGCGGATCTGCTGAAGCGACGTTGCAGGAGCGAAAAATGCCATGGCAACAGCGAAAAGCAAAACTTCCGCTCCAGCGGAAACTCAACTCCGCTGACTCCAAAGGTTTGGGAGCGGAACTCTCGCTTCTGCGGTTTCGCTTCAGCGGAGAACACCACGGTCTGCTGTATATGGACTTGCTATGAGAAATTTGTATGCGTATGATGTCCATGCAACAAAAATGCGTGCAAGACAGTCATTGACCTCGTCTATTCTCCGTACCGTATGCACCACAGTCCACTTTACTCTCATTTTCCGCCAAAGTAGGAGTTTGCCCTGTTTGTATGTGTGACCATACACACGTGGTTCCGCTGGAGCGCCACCAGGCTCACTGCTGCAGAACCTCGCCGCCGAAGCGGAACCCCAGTGCATGTGTGACCGGGCCCTTAGACGCCTGAACTTACCAAAACGGCCTAGGCGGCTAAAATAGCTAAGACAGCTGAAACAGCTCAGACATATTCACTAGATAACAGTGATTGTTACTGTTAGTAGAGAGGTTCCGCATAACGTAATTACGTTAGTAAAAAACGTAGTCGATCTATGGAAAGTCTTACGTAAACTGCATGCGCATCTGGGTTCCGCCATACGGAGTTTTCAAAACACGTAGCTGCCCTTGGCAACTCCGAACGCGGCAGTGTACGACCAGATCGACCTGGGGAAAGAGGCATAAATTTGTACCCCAATCCACTTACGGACCAGCTACCGTATCAGAGCCCTATCTACGCACTCTCCGTTGACAACTTTCCGTAAGTGGAGTGCAAACTCGCGAATTCACGGGTTTTTCCCGCGCACTAACGTAAAGTTGCTCAACTTCACGTAGTGCGGAACCTCTCTAATATCTAGAAACGCAATGCTTAATTAAACTCACCTCAGCCCCCGGATCACACGTCAAGCACACACGGGCATCTTCATTGATCACTGTCCAATCTTCATCAAGCATTACAAGTCTTGGTATATCTGCAGCAGGGCAGAATGGAAAAAAACTTCCAGTGAAAATGTGACTTAAAAGTCGACGAGGAGACAGAAACCGTAATAATTATAGAGATTTTAAAATATTCCTAAATGTGCAGTTATTAGTACTGGGAAACGTTATACAGTCACAAAGGGACATAGAGGTAGGTACCAGTCTTTGTGACTGTATAGCGTTTCTACTAGTGCAGTAAAACCTGGTTTAAGCGACCACCACACGGTGCAAGCAAAAGCGATCGTTAAAGCCAGGTGGTCAGGCTTTAGAACCAGGTCCCACAGTGTCTGTGTAGGACTGTCAGTGCATGGAAAAACGGTAGTTAAGGGGGCACATCACCCAAAATTCGCTGAAAAATCGAATTTGTAAATTCATATTGAGTGCTACGTCAGTTGAAAGAGCATGAATAGCTGCAAATTCTCTGAAAACTGTGTCCCTATCTGACCAGCCGTTCAAGAGTTATGGCCGAAAATGTGCCCTTGCAAGGAAAGATTTTTTTGTTGCATGCTGTCATTTGTTGGCAGCACTGTATTTGAATGTGAGCAGACCGTGCGCAACTTGTCGTATTATGGAAACACGCGAAAGTGTGCAGAATTTTGCCCCAAGTCCAAAAAAGTCCAAAAAATCACGTTAAAAAACCACGTATTGGGCTGCACGGCGGCGGGCGAAGCCCGCCGCCGTGCAGCAGGACTTTTGCCAGCACCCTCGTGACGTTGCAGATATGTGGCTTGATTATTGTAGTTGACGTTGATTTAGTGACTTTGGCAAGTTTGAGTCGTGTCAAGAAGTCAGGTAGGATTCAGTACTAGGCAGTAGTGAAACGTGAGTGGCAGTCTTTGCCGGTTTCTGAGGGCATCCTGGATTTGGTGTGCAGCGCTGTGGAAATGGCTTGCTGTGGAGGTCCCAGCACTGGATGTTGTATCAAAGGTACGACCTCGTAGCACGTGCTAAACCTAAAAAAATTCAAAAATTGACTTGGGTCTGTGGGAGTCCGTGAAAGAACGCCCACTCGTTCCGTTGTGACAGATTCCAGGGCCACGTTGAGGGGCCCTACCCCACCACCCATGGCTGCTTCTGGACTTGTTTTAGGTTTGGGTCCCGCGCACGGACAGAATGGGCACGAAAATGTGAAAAAAATGTAAATGCATTTGTTTGGCTCCTGGGTGGCTCGCACACCGTAGCACTATGCCGGAAATTTGACTTTTTCCGGCCTGGAAAGCCTGTCAGTGAGGCGCAAGAACTTGTAAATCATGTCCTGAGGGCCAGCATAGTGGCAGGAGTGTGTGGTCAAAATTTCACTCAAATCCACTGAGAAACACCAAAGTTACGGTCAATTGAATGCCATATGAAATTTTTGGGTGATGTGCCCCCTTAAGACCAGATGGTCGCTAAACCCAGAGGTCGCCTACACCAGGTTTTACTGTACTAATGACTGTGCATGTAGCAACATGATTGTATCTCTATATTGCGGTTTCTGTCTCCTCGTCGACTTTTCATGTACTTCAAACAGAGATATACCAGTGATCAGATCGAATGCTTGAACAGAGCGCTTCGGAGACGGTTTGTTTGTTGAAGCATCGCGCATAATGCTTAATTCCTTAGACAATGGAAAAGTATATATTAATACTGGTACCCACCTCTGTGTTCCTTTGTGACTGTACAGTGTTTCCTAGTAGTAATGACTGCGCATTTCCTGCCATTCAACAATATTGATCTCTACAGTGAAATGCTTCTTCACATATCAGCACAGCCATGTACTCAGTCTGCTCATGGTAAGTGCTTGCAGTGATGTATCAGCGGCATGCATACGGCCGCTGTATCCGGCACTGTGTGGTCCGGGTGATGTACTGTGCAGCACGGCTCTGGTGCCCGTCACATGGCACACAGGTAGCATTGAGTAGTGACAATCACTATGCTCGATACTTTTCAAACAAGTAGTAAGTGAGAAAGGACATGCTAGAATTTAATTGTAAATAGAGTTTACAATAACCTTACCAGTGATATTGAAGTATTGGTACAGCCTTGACTTGCGTGCATCCGAGGGCCCAACACCCAGAAAGGGTGTCTCTTTGAGGGATTCTTCAAAGCTCTCTTCACTCTGATCGTCACTTATATAGATGATTTCAAGTCTTTTGCATGATTTGTTAGCTGCTTCGTAAACTCCTTTGA